TATATATATATATATATATATATAGGAGGAAAAAAAAAAATTTATAATGGATTCATTAGAGTAAAATCATGGATTAAGCTTATCTGTGCCACCTTTACTGCACGTTAAATTAAGCCATCAAATAATAGTTTTTAATAAAATTTTTAATTCTTTTGATCAACAAAATTTTCGAAAAACAACAAATGATCATCATGCCAAAACGTTTTAAAATAATATTTTTCAATATAATTAATTAAAAAAAATGTTAAATAGCATTTTTTATTATATAGTTAATTGAAAAACATCAAAATAACATTTTTTTACTATAGTTAATTGAAAAAATGTCAAAATAATGTTTTTTATTATAGTTAATTTAAAAAAAAATATTAAAAAAACATCAAAATAAAGTTTTTATTATAGTTAATTTAAAAAATGTTAAAAAACATTAAATAACATTTTTTTATTATAGCTAATTTAAAATATTATAGTTAATTTAAAAAAAACGTCAAAATAACGTTTTTTATTACAGTTAATTAAAAAAATTTCAAAATAACTATTGTCAATTAAAAAAACGTCAAAATAATGTTTTTTTACTATAGTTAATTGAAAAATGTCAAAATAACATTTTTTTACTATAGTTAATTGAAAAATGTTAAAATAACATTTTTTTAATTATAGTTGATTTAAAAAAACGTCAAATAACATTTTTTACTGTAGTTAATTGAAAAATTATCAAAATAACATTTTTATTTTAGTTAATTTAAAAAAAATTAAACTAATTCGTAATTCGCGTAACAATCGGAGCACTTTCGCAAATCTGCGTTTTGATACCATTTCGTACATAGGTAAATCGGTCAATTTTTAGCCAAACAGGCTAAAATTTACTGATAAAACTTGGACATTAGATCTATATTATCCAAACATTAATTATAACAGTTACTAAATTTAAATAATTGCTAGAAGTTGTTGATTAACAAAATTTTTAGTAAAACTGCTTTGCAATTTTTTATTAATAAAAGTGTGAACCAGAAGGCTCAAAATTTACATTTATATACATTTTGATATTATTGTATTTTTAAAAAAAAGTAAGGTAAAAAAATAAAATTATTCTTATTTTAAGATTAACAGTTTATTTTTCGTAAAAAAAAATTCCAAATTTTTTAAATTTTCCCAATTGACAACTTTTAAGAATTATTTACGAAATTATAAGTTTTACAAAAATTACAATTAATACTTGAAAAAATAGACTCAATGTCAGAGTTTTCTCAGTAAAAATTTCAGCCAAATCGGTTAAAATTGACCGATTTACCTATGTAAGAGACGCAGATTTCAATGGTGCTCCGATTGTTACACGAATTACGGATTAACATTTTTTTACTACAGCTAATTTAAAAAAAATGTTAAAATAACGTCAAATAACCATTTTTCATTATAGTTTATTTTAAAAAAAATGTTAAATAACATTTTTTTTATTATGGCTAATTTTATAAATGTTAAAATAATGCCAAATAACATTTTTTTATTATAGTTAATTTAAAAAAACGTCAAAAAAACGTCAAAATAACATTATTTATTATAGTTAATTGAAAAACATTAAAATAACATTTTTATTATAGTTAATTTAAAAAAAATTAAACAACTTTTTTTTTAAGTAATTAATAAAAATCAGTAAATAACATTTTTTTTTTATTATAATTTATCAAATGTTTTTCTAATATAATTAATTTAAAAAACATTAACATTAGAAAATGTTTTTTATAATAATTAAAAAAATGTGACCTGATTAACTCATATTTTTACATTTTGTAGTTTTAACCAATTAATGTTTGATATATTTGTATATGAGTTACATTTACTATATCAAATATATATACTATATTAAATAAACCAATAACTATACACATCGGAAAATTTTTACAGGTGATATATAGCGATATATATCACTTTATCGATATTTTTCGCCATAAAATACCGATAATTAACGAAATATGATAATTAACATTATTTATTTTTCAGATTATTGTCAATAAATATCACTAATGTTAAATATCTTATAGAATTCATCGATAAATACAGTTATTTATCAAAATGATAATCATAATACATTTATTATTGATTTATTTAGTACGATAATTATCGATAAAGTGATAATTATCGATATTTATATCTTAAAAAAATTATCAATATCTGCAGATAATGCAATTTATCGGCAGATAATCATTGATATTAAGTGTTAATATAGATTTGCCATAATATTATAATTAAGTTACGAAGCTATTTAACAATCACGTGTATCATATCATGTGACACAACTTCCCGTTGATTATTTTTTTAAACTTTTTTTTTTAAAGTTTAATTAAACATTACTTTCGCCCTTTCCCATTCACATCCTCTTTTTCCTTCCCCCTCTCATCTGTCTTTCTTTCACACTTTCCCTTTCACCCACTTCACCCCTTTTTACGCTTTCCTTTTCTGTGTTTCTCATTTTCACCTTCGTTTCATTTCATTTTTTCCGTTTTTTTCATTGGCAGTTTGATCATTTTACCGTTAAAACTTAAGCTTTTTTTAGTTTAAACTTAAATTTTTTTTCGTAAATTTCCCTTTTCCTTTTCTTTTTCTTTTTTTCCCTTTCCCTTTCTTTCATTTTTCCCCTTTCCCCTTTTTCGTTTTTTTCCCTTCCCTTTCTTTCCTTTTTTCCCATATCCCTCTCTTTCTCATCTTCCTTTCTTTTTGCTCTTTCTCTCTTCCTCCCTTTCCTTTTTTCTAGGCTTTCTTCGGTCTCTTTAGACATGACATTCTGGTAAATCTTTTGCCTTAGACTCGCCATTTTGGTATAAAGACTTAATATTTTTTTTATTTTAATATTTTTATTATCTTAACGAACTTTACTAATAGTTCTTTTTTTTATTTTGTAGGTGATCAGTTCTTTGGATTTTGAGGGGAGGGTATTAATATTTTTTTTAAAAAAATAACAAAACGATCATTAATGTTTCATTGTTTTCTTTTTTTTTTTATGTGATCAGGTTCACCAGATTTCAAGGTAGATATCGGGTTTTATTTTAAAAAAATATTTTTTAACGAAACGATTATTAAGGTTTCGTTATTTTTCTTTTTTTCCAGTTTCTAGCGGCAATTCTGTAGGTTTATTATTTTTTTTCATTTAATTTTTTTTTATTTTAACGAATGGTTTCTAACTATTCTTTTCTCATTAGTCTTATTAGGTCAGTTCCTTGGAAGTAAGATATCAGTTTTCGGTAAAAGCTTTTTTTTCTGTCTTAATTTATTTATTCTATACTGACGCTTTGACTTTTCTCTTTTTTATTAGACGCCTGGTCTTTGGACACTTTGGGATTCAGTGGGTGGGTTTCCTTATTTTTTTTTTATTTTTATAATAATGAAACGTTTATTAACGTTTCAAAATTTCTTTTTTTATTAGACGGGTCTGAACACGTGAAATTGGCCTTTCTTTTTTGGTAAATTTTTTGGTGCATGGAATTTCAATAGGATCCGATTAGATACCATAATAGATTTGTATAGTTTACTAGTATAAAATTTAGTATAGATTTAGCATAGATGTTTTTATTAATATAATAAAACTGAACCACATTTAACAATAAAGTAATTTAACGTTATCTAACACTTTCCCGATGCATACTATATACACACTATATCAGATATATGCTATATTAATTATATTATATACAGTATATTTAATATTTGCCAACATTGATCAGCAATCATGTGACAAACCTGTATTTTAATTACCAATCGGTAAATATTGGCCGGTTCATCACTTGACAAGTTATCATTGATCAGCAAAATACAACACTACAAAATTCATAATGCGGGCCAAAACGTATAGTGCTGGCCAGAAAATTTTGGCCTGAATTTTGACTTTCGGCAGAGTTTAGTTTCGGGAATGACTAGCCAAAACTGAACCTGAAATTATGCCGAAATTACTGAGTTTTGGCAACATGTATAGTTCCAACTATTGTATTTTGAAAACCAAAATGAACAGAATGCTATTTCTTATTATAAATTTCACAGCTCCCCATGAATGATGGACTCTTGTTTATTGTTATTGTTTAAATATGGTGATTTTTTTCTTTAAAATCGTAAATGTATGGCTTAAATTTTAATATTTGCAAATAAAATTTCATTAAATAAGATTATTTTAAATAAATATGCAAAAATTTTTTTTAAAAAATATCTTTGCAATAAAATTTTAAGTTTAACCGATCAAAATAACTAAGTTTAAAAATCAGCCATCAGCCGACTAATAAATTTGTACATCATGTGACATATTTGAAAAAAAACCCAGGCGGTGATCGCCCAGGCGACCTCCCAAAAAAATATCTCACAATCCCCCAAAAATCAATTATAACAATCTATTGCTATGAAAAAAAAAATTCCCCAATTATAACAATCTATTGTCATGAAAAAAACATTTCCCATAGAATTTACTAAACCGATCTACTGTTACAAAAAATAAATAAGTAAATTATATGTCAGTCTATTTATATTGAGCCTAAAAATAATTAGGGAAAATATTATTACTAACTTGAATCTGATCGCTTTTTGAAATATAGTCAGACTAAATAATAATAATAAGAATCGGGAAAAAAAGGCAATTACCGTAGTGCCACAGCGTCAATCCGATCACCGAACCAAATCTAGATGGTTTAAGAATGTGGTTTGGGAAAAAAAAAATAACAATGAAGAAAATTCGGTTCGAAAGAAAGGATAAAATTTTAGGTTTAAAAAAAAAATAAATCGGTCTAATAATTCCGATTGAAATTTCTTAGATTAGATATAACAATATGACTAAGAAACAAGGTGATCGTGTAAAGGAGGAAGAAGGAATAGAAAGTGATAGTGATGAAGATGTAGAAGATCAAGTGGTGGTAAGTACAGAATCGAATAACAAAAGAGGAGGAAAACCAGGTAGTCGCGGACGAGGTAGAGGAGGCAGACGTAGATTAGTTAAAAAGAAGTAGTTTCACTTAATATAGATATTATATAGTGTAAATAGGTAAATTAATGTATAGATAGATAGTTTTTCTAGTAGTTGTGTAGAACTTTAAGGGGATCGTGGGTTGACCGAGCGGTAGGCCAAAGCGCCCGGTATGGAGAGGTTGAATCAGTGCTTGCACTGGTTACTTCAATGTGATTCTTTGAGGTTGATTTTGTAAATAGTGCGCTTTTTACAAATTTAATAAAGGAGTTTCACGCTTACGCGAGTGAAAAAAAAAAAAAAAAAAAAAAAAAAATATGACTTGCTGATCAAGCGGGTCTTAGCTATAAAGGATACAGATCAGCAATTCAAAATTAATTTATACAGGTTAATCTAAACGTAACGGTTACACACCAATTTTTTTAGTATATAGATAATTATTTACCTATAGCTTTATTCAAATGAATTATCTTTTTCGAAAGTTTGAATTATATCAATAAATGAGCGAAAACTATAAAAATAAAATTTGACGTAAACTCAACTATAAAATACACCAATAAATTAACCTTAATTAACTTCAAATTATATAAATTAAATGCTTCCTCCAATTTTCTGTTTATCTTCATCAGTAGAAACAATTACATTTTCATCATTATCCTCTAAATTTGCCTTATCATAGTCAAATTTCGATTCAACATCTTGCAATTATTTTTAATACCATTGCATCTCTGATCTTGGTCAAAACCAACGCCTCCAGTGAAAGTGGATTTTTATTAAATGACGGAATTTTGGGGAGGAGACAAGAAATTGCATTTTGGAGATGTTCGATCTATGTTATTTGGCCAGGTGGGCAAGATAGCTATAATTTTTTTTCTGGGACCTTGGTTTTTATCCTGCCCATCCTGACTGATATTGAATTAAATAGTTTTATGAATAAACACTTAGAATATTCTAGTTAATACATTAAATTTACATCAAAAGTTTTTATAGTAACAAAAGCATTTGGTAAAGCCTAGAGCGGGAACCAAATATACGATGTGTATAACGAACAAGTTTCTTGTTTAAGTTCAATAATTATATGTGATATACGGTATATTAAGTAAATTTACTAATTTCTTATTAATTGAAACACTTCATAATCTTCTTCGATAATAGAACAAAAAGACACCAAATTTGTTGATTATATTGATTATTTTTATTGTCAATGTCGAAGTCGATCTTTTTTACAATTGGTAAAAATAAGATTCGAAAACTTGTCTTTCTTTTCAATAAAAGACCGGTTTACCATTTTTTTATTTCTTTTCTTTTAAAAAAAAGAAAAAAAAATTTTTTTACCTATTTAAATTGTCATTTTATTGTTTTTAGTTAAGTCTTTCACATATTTTTGATGATAATATTTAAATTTTAAACTGATAGATATTCGATACAAGTAAGAGTTCAATAAATTTGAGGTTAAAAATTAAACGAATATAAATTTTGAAATCTTGGAACTAACCCTGCAAAAAAAAGAACAATTAAGTTAATCATGTACTAGTTGTAACAACGATAGTCACAAGAACAATAAAATTCTCGTTTCGTGAAAGACGAAACGTTCCCTAGGAGAAATTATCATCATTTATTTACAACAGATCCAAAATAAGTTTTAATCTGTTAAATTTTTTGGTAGGTAGAATGGCTAGAATTAAAAGCGCACAACCAAAGTATTAAATTGTGGCGCAACGAAAGTTGATTCGAATAATTCGCAGAAATACTAGATTCATTTATTGTCGGTTAATTTATTAATTAATATTTTTAATGATAATATATTGAAAAAATTCTGTAGTTTTTATTTTATCAGAAAAAAAAAAATGTTGTTTTATAATACATTATATTTTTCTAATAAATTAAATAAAAATTAATTCATAAATTCACAAAAATAAAAATCATGCGAATAAATCTTTCGTTGTCATAGATGTCGAATATACATAAGTTTTTGATAAATCTCCAATGCGGTTAATAATATTCACCATCAAATAAATTTTTTAATACCTTTGAAATTTGAATTGAATTCAAACCAAAAATTTCTTGTAGCTCCATAATGAACGTTTACAACAGCGCATTTCTCCTATCTTATATACCAAAAATTGCAATGATCAAACTACTATGGTAACGTTCAAATTGACATTATCCAATAGGGGAGTCATACACTGAATAGAAACTTCTTAGATTTAGCGTCCGTCTGTACCATAAAATAGATAAGATAGTTATTAAAATGCCGTAGCCACAATTTCTTTATTACCTACTTCAAGAAAATTTTCCTACTTTATGCGATATAACATTCCTCGTATATATACGGTGAATCGCTTGTCAAAGACTTTTAATTGTCCCTTTATCAAAACAGCAGTGAAAATTTATATTATGAATAAAAAATAATATTTTGTATCTATAGATAACATGGTGTCACTGTATCTTTTGCGAAGATGCTATGTTGTGAAGGTTATTTATATATGTGAAACTTGGGAGATCGTAATAGGTAAGTCATGGAATGGTACGCATAGCATGATTAAATTCCAAATCAGGAAACCTTATTTAATCGATATATCTACGTAATGCTACCTACAGTTTAACGTACTACAAATATAATATAATTTGTAAGATATACAGTCTTTGTTCTCATTTATTTTTAAGAGAATAAAATATCATGTCAAAGAAAAATTCTAAAATACTGCAATGAAAAGTATTTTTAGTATTTTTTTTTTTTTTGAAAATACTTTTTAACCATTATTATTTTAAATAATATTTAATTTCCAGATTCATTTTAATTCTAGAACATTCCGAACATCATTTTTTCACCCAGGTTTTCTTGTCGATCCTCTAAAAAAATTATATTTATAAAATAAGATGACGGGAAATCCTCATTTATTGGAAATACCATTATTTTTTTCCCGGACATAAATTTTCGAAATAATAAAATATTTTTTAAATAAAGCCACAAGTCATCATAATAATATTTACTTATCTTTTTTGATGTATTTCGCAAAACGGAAAGAAAAATTCCATCAAGAAAGGTAGTATGTATATATATATGGTTTTCCCAAAGCAAAATTAACAAAATTGGATATTTTTGGTTCCAAATTTATTTTTTTCCTTTGTTCTTTTCGGGTAAAAATATTGAAAAGTACCAAATTGCAATTCATTGACATGGTTTCACAATTCACATTTTTAAACCAAAATAAAGTTACACAGTAAATTTTGTAATGATTGATAAAAATTTTAACCAAGTTTCGTTTTGACTGGTTGGAATAATGTAATACAACGATCGTATCGTTAAGCGGATTTTTTACGAATAACAACATTTGGAGTAATCTAATTAGCGTAAATAACGTGGCAAAATTTAAAGTTTTAAAAAAAGAGAAAATGAAAAATAATAAATCAATTAATTTCATTTGCTATTTCAAATTTGAAATTTTGTACCCAACTTTTCTTTATTCTTTTTTTTTTTTAATAACCGAAATTTTTCCTCTAAAATCAAACGCTTGGTGCAAGAACCCTTAAAAATATGTTGAAAAAAACATGTATATTTTTTTTAATTGATTGTTTCTATTTATGAATTATAAACATTTCTTGGAGTCAATGATAGCTACTATTTTTGGTATGTATTTTAAATCGTAAGAGATCCGGGAAAAGTAATTTTAAAATGAATTATTCGTTTTTATTTGATAATATTTTATAAACATTTATGCACTTTCCAGGAGAAAATTATTTATAATGGATTTTCTTCATATAATTATTATTATGGCAATGATTGTTATCAGGATTAGTATATTTAGTCTCGGCATATTAACTCCATATAAATATATAAAAATTTCTATAAAAAAGAATCCTAACATTCTAATAATTTTTAGTTTAATACAGCATATGATATAAGTATAAATAAGAACAATAAATGAACAGACTAATTATTAATAATATGACGTACAGTATCTATGGTATTCCTTTCTAGTTACTATGGATAAAACAATGAAAATTTTCTATATAATTCTTTTTTGGTCACTAAGTAGAGTTGCGGCGTAGGTTAAACATGTGACGTTTTATTTTCTATTCATTTGTTCCGAAGTTTTTGGTTCTATTTTAATCTAATAGAAATTTCTGTGATCATGGTGCAGAAAAAAATATTCAAGTACTAATACAATTTAGTCCCGTGATCTTATGCAAATTTTAGCGTCGCCTAGAAAAAATGGTAGCCGGATAGGTTTTCCGGGTTACACGTGATTCGGAAAATGATTTCCGGTTTTGCTTGTTAATTTTTATTATAACGTAGTAGTAAAAAACTTTGATAAATAACTGAATAAATAAATATAGTAAATATTTAGAGTTTATTAAGAAAATTGCTGAAATTTTGTTTATTGCTATTATTTATTTTATTTATTCCAACACATTGTATTTTTGTTAAAAGTTTTTCCATGTTTTTGGCATTGTTCGACGGTTTTCTAGTGCTTTAATATCATTATTCATCTTTTCCAACAATCGGAAATTTTTGCGAACATTTTTTAACCATAGATGCCGTTTTGGTTTGTTATATGATTCTTTTAACAATTCTTTAGCCTAAAAAATTTATTTGACGTTAGTAAAGGTTAAAAATGCATCTGTATATGAAATTTATATTTACCTTATCTAATACTTCGCATAAATAAGCAAAATCAGTTTCATATGTTTGTTGTTCTTCATTATCACTTTCGATAATATAATCATCTTCATTCTCAGTAATCGAATTTTGGATCAATAAAATATTTGAAACTTTATAATTTTGAGGAGCTTCCATACCAAATACATTTACCAGTTCACCTTCATAGGATGAAATTAATGGATAATTTCCATTTCTTTGCACCTTTAATTAGAGACACTATTAAATAAAATAATAAATACAAATATCAAAAACAAATTGTCACTTACTTTTTTGAAGAATATTGCATCAACTTTTTGAACAGAATTAACTAGATGTTTACACAAAAAAAAACGGCTTTGAATGTATGCAGGACATGCACATATCCATTTTGTTGAATCTGTAAAATATTTGCCATTTAATTGTGTGGTTTTTTTTTCATGTTGCTTCCATTCTTTTTTAAACTCTTTCCGCCATGGTACTGAATAGCGACCTTGTTGAAGTAATTGAATTCGATATAATTGTTGGCTGATTACTTTTTTAACAAGAATAAAACATAAATGATCAACTCTGGGCTTGTGAAATTTGTATAAGTGATCATGTTTAATATGTCGCCAATGTGACTCAACAATCATTGTAGTTTTAATATGGCTAATGTTTTTATTAGCCGCTCTTGCCCATAAATTCCACTTTTCTTTTGAATACCATTCTCTCCACAAGTAAACCCATAATTGAAGTAATTCATTTTCTTTACAAAATTCTATCATTTCTTTAACACACTCTTTCCAAATTTCGTCTGCATTTGTAATAAAGGTTCCATCATGTTTCTGTAACAACATATGACGATTTGAATGATTTTCAACTATGCTAATTACAGTTTTTCGTAACTTTAAAGGGCAAAATACCAAATTTGAATTATTTATAATTCCCCAACTAGGATCAATTGATGAACATTCTTCATGTGCAACTTTTGGATTATAAGAATAATATGTACCAATTTTATTAGATGATAAACGTTGCTTAATAGCCCGTCTTAAATGCCAAACACATAATTGTAAACGTGCTTTAGGCCATACTGTTTGTGCTGCATTGATTTCTGAGAAATCTTTATCAGTTAAAATAAAAGGAAAGTTTCTCAGGTTTTGTTCTTTTAAAGCTTGCATCCACTGAGTAAGAATCCCTGTTATATTTCGATTTTTTCCAACTGAAATTATAAGATAGCTAAGAGGAAATCCAGTACCATCTATAACACCCATAATAGCATATAATTCCCATGCCAAATTATTGGTACCATAAGTTGCATCGATTTCAATTGCTTCAAAATTATAGTAAATCAATTTGTAAAACAATTCTGTTAAAAATCCAAGAGCGGGCGCAGAAGTATTAAGATTATTTACTATAATTTCTTGGTTAAACTCTTCTAGCAAACATTTTGCTGATAATAAAGGATTGGTGTCATGGCAGTATGCCTTACGAGATTGAAATAGACCACCAATAATAGGTCTGTTGAACTGTTATGTTTTCATGTCCAATAATTTGATTTTCTCGAATTTGGCGCCAAATTTCTGAAACAGGACAATTAAGATTATCCTGGATAAATCTTTTAATTTCATACGTAGTATTAACATGCCTTTGTCTTGGATGTAACATTTTATGAGAATATTTAACTTTGATTAAGTCCAGTTTTGATAAGATCTCTATATTTATTGTTCCCTCACAATGGTACTGTTCTAAATAGGTAGATGTGTCTCTTTGTTTATCTAATATAGGATGCTTTACTTGCCTTTTTCCAAGCTCAATTTGACAATTGCAATAATATAATATATGAAGAGAGTCTTTTTTTTTTTTTTTTTTTCTTTTAATCCTTTTATTTCCATCACCTTCCGAAATAAGTGTTATTACATGATTGCTAACTTCAATTTCAAGGTTTTCTTTATTTTATTCATCTTTTTCTGAAATAAATTCAAGAAAAGATGATAATTCAATATCAAGATCAAGGTTTAACTCCACATTTTCACCTTCATAAAGTTCATTAGTATCATTTAGAGAAATTAAATGGTAGTATATAGTTTCAGTAATATCTGAATAATTAATTATTGCGTCAGATTGTTCAGCACTTAAACGAGCAATTTTAAGTTTATCTCGGCAGTGCAAACATTTTTTTAAAGCAACACCTTTATCATTTAGAAAATTTTCATAACTTTGACGAACATGACATCCTTTACAAGTTCTATTTTCTTGATTTGACATTAGTGAAATTAGAAAAATAATAAGAAAAGGGTTTATAGTGACGTGTCTGACGAGATATTGATGAAAAAGTAAAAAGGTAAAAAATTGATTTATAATCAATTTGTAATTAATGTAACCGGAAATCAGTTTCCGAATCACGTGTAACCAGCAAACCTATCGGGCTACCATTTTTTCTAGGTGACGCTAGGTAAGTTCAAATTTTACAATCTACAGCATTTCGTACCTTTTACTTAGTTAACTGTAGAGAGAGAAAAAAATAGATTAGTATTATGCAAATTGTATAAGCTGATATATATTATATTTAGTTAGGCTTTTTATATTATGAATTAATTACTATTTATTATAACAAATTTGATTGATTAGTCAAATATCATAGCAGTAGTACTTGTTGAAATATTTCAAAAGAAAAAAAGAGCTAAGATCGATTTTCTTTTAATTAATATTAATTAAATGTGAAGAAAACTTTTTTGAAATGGATGATCTTACTCTGAACATTAACGTACTTGAGATACGAATTAAATATTTTTTTTTGATTTAGTAGATATAATTATTTTACTTTAATTATTGATCTGTCATATTAATACAATAGATCTTTTTCCTAAAAATATAAGAAGATTAATATTTGAAGTTATTGATAGTGTTGATAGTATTGGTAATAATGGATCGCGCGGGATTATATGCATACTAATTGATGATACTGTGAGAATAATTCAACAATAAACGTTGCGAAAACATTTTTTGTATAATTAGAATGTAAATTTCTATTTTAATCTCTTTAAATTTACTTAATTAGCACTTTTTGTAAAAATGACGTTTTTTTTTTATCTGGATACTTTTGGTGGCGGTATAAGTTATGATATTTTTTTTCTACGAGATTAAAACGTCTTCAATTTTTTTTAGCATAGATCCAATAATTAATCCTAAAGCTGGTTTAATATAGATACTTTTAAGGTACATAAATTAAAATCATAGTAACTTTATTTAGCTGACGATCTTAATGATAAAATTATAAAAAAAATATAAAATTATTACTCGAGTAATCACATTTTTCAAACTATATTTAGCTTATTAATGAAGAAAAAAAAAAAAAAATTATAAAATTATTACTCGAATAATCTTATTTTTCATACCCTATAAAAAATGTTTGTCCGATAAATATTCGGAATGGAGTCAATTTTCCGGACATTCGCACGCTATTATTCATACAAGATGCGGAAATTGGGAATTTTTAACCACATAAAAAACGTACAATATCATGATGAATGTCCAATAAATGTCAAGTAAATGTTCGGGATCGATTTTCCGAACAAAAAACCGAACAGTGTTTGGACAATATTTTTTATAGGGATATATAGCTGATCTTATTATTATGAATAAATAAATAAAAAAAACATATTTCAATTTTTTTTTTTTTATAAATATTATTCTTAGATATATTTATAGTGGAAAACTTTCTTTAAATGAATATGATAATTCAGATATAATTCAAATTCTAATTGTCGCCAACGAACTTACAAGGAATTATATAAAGATTTGTTAAAATCTTTTTTAAATCTTTTGGAACCTAATAGTAAGCTAAACAATAATCCGAGACCCCGTGTAACCAAGGAAATTAAATTAAAAGTTGATTCAAAAATTATTACATCTCAACATGCCGAATTGATCTCAAAATGGATTAATAAGTTAGATATTACTGATGAGTTAAAATCTCCATATAAATACAAATTGTTATTTCGCGGATCCCGTGATGGATTTTCAATACGTAAATTTCATGGAACTTGCGATGGTGAGCTTCGCACAGTAATGATTGTTAAAGTGAAAGGTAGTAACGAAATTCTTGGAGGGTATAATCCAATTGATTGGACTTCTGAATGTAAGTGGAGTATTACAAAAGATAGTTTTATATTTTCTTTTAATAATAATAGAATTGAAGATTACATCTTAAGTCGTGTAAGTAATAAAAATTATGCCATAAGTAATGGATGTTATTATGGTCCATCATTTGGTAATGGAGACCTTGTAATAGTGGATTTCGATGGTAACTATAATAGTTATAGTAGAAAGGGATCTTATGAAAAATCAATTAGAAAAACTGGAAAATATTTTGCTGTAGAAGAATGTGAAGTGTTTCAAATCATGTAACCATAGTAGCGAAATTTTTATTATTTTGTTTCAAAAGGAAAAATAGTTATTAATAAAGACCATTTACACACATAAAATTATATTTCAATTGAATTAATTTGGGCTTTTTGCAGTAGAAAAGGACGAAACCGCTAAAAAAAAAAAAAAAATAATAATAAATAAGTTAATATTATTTCTGAATAAATTTTAATGTTTGGAACAATTTTAACATATAACTATAAATTTAATTTTTTGAGGTAGTTTTGTACCTTTCTACTGCAAAGCGCCCATTTCTTTATCACTCAACAAACAAAAGTAATGAATTTGTATAAAGGATGAAAATTAAAAAATTTTTAGTCTTCAGTGAAAATAATAGCGACAAAAATGCCACATCTTATTTTAGTCATAATTCTATCATTATTTTTTATTAGATCATTATTTGTTAAATCAAATTGTACAATGGAATATTAAGTTAAAGGGCCATAATAAAAAGAAGTAATTTTATTTATTGTTATTTTATTTTATTGTCTTGAACATCTTCAATTCTTACGAAGCTGTTAGCAAAAATTGGGGAAATCCTAATTGAACGAGCAATTTCTTTTTTTTCTTCAAATAAATGATACATCCTAACATCCCCCTTTTAAAACGTGCCAAACTTCTAAAATTTTATATTCTGAACGATGTACTGAAATTATGTTTCATAAGAAATACCGTCAAAACCAAAGTGATGATTATCTGATTAACACTTATATTAATTAATACCGAATAATTAACTTTCTGGATTGTTAATGAAACTTTCAGCAAATAATAATCCAAAAGTCAATTTTTAAAGTGCCTTTATTGCTTATTTATAATCCAGATTTCAACCATAATGAAGTCATATCAAATATTTTTAAAATGCCGTTCTTCTTAAGGGTAGAGGGGATCGACATGTCTGATCATATGGCTAAAATGATCATTTTTATTTACTTCGCTACAAGGAAAACTCTCTTAATAAATATTTCATGTAAAACTGTATAAATGTATTCATTAGAAAGCTAGAGTTTCTGTCTTTTAAATAAACTTTAGTAAAGTATAATACAAATAAGGTTTATAACAAAATATTACATTATGAAGTCTTTGGTAAGTTGCGAATCACCTAGAGAATGTATCTTCAAATTAACTTTAAACTTATGAAACTTTACAGGTTAATAGTATGGTAATTAAGAATATTTATATCAAAAGATCATTGTGCATTATTTGTCCAAATAAATATTTTACTAATACCATTTTATTTAAGAAAAGTCTAAATACATTAATAAAGGCTAATAGCAAATGGTTAAATATTTTAATAAACAGATAAAGTATATGCTTATCTTCATTTCTATTTGTATATTTAACAAAATTTACATGGTTGTTTAAGAGAAATCATAAATTTTCGTCCGTTTAATTTGGTTTCGTGGTCACGTGATGATCGACATTCTTTAGCGTACTATATAAATTACGACGTGATTACACTACCCTTAATTTATTCTTATTTAGGTGATAATGAGATAATTTATAAATGATGTCGGTATAACTAATAATTAAGTTAATAGCGTTTAATAAGTAACAAAATACATATGGAAGGAGTCATATTATCATTTGCTTATCTTTCAGAAAATGGAAAATTTTTCGTACTTTATTATAAATTCATGCATGAAACAAAAAAAAAAGCTAACGGCCATCGCTTTCGCCAAGGTATGTACATTATAAAATATAACAAAAAGGGGTGTAAAACTAGGGGGTGGCAACGATCAAGGTCATTATCCGGTCATGACCAGTCAAAGGCCTCTGACCGACCGAACTTCAAGCAGTCTTCAGAAAGGTCATCGTGAAACGTTAGTCTGTGAATGATACACTATATAATATATTCTTGAACGGATATTTTTAAATATTTGTGATCAATATACACCCTTTTCATAAAATGATTAGGAAGGAGGAGAATATTAATGTTTCCGTAGAAAAATTTGATACTTGATAATCCATTAAAATTTCAATGACAAAGTTCCCAGAAACATCCTGCCTGACACTGTGACACACGCGTGAGAACATAAATACAATTAAATATATAAAATATTTATAGATCAGAACTTTTAGTATTATAAAGTTTTTCATGTGAAAATTACAATAGACAATTGATTTGTTAGATAAACTCTTATTTTTATCATTTTTATTCAATTCTCAATGATTAAAGATTATCAAAATGTTACAAATGATTCATTGATAAATTTTTAAAGAAGGGCTTTGACCGTTGAGCTATTAGAATGGAATCAGATTTGGCAATTTAAAATCACTATCTAACTATTCACATGCAATTATAAACAAAGAAAGATGGTGAGAACTTAATTTTTTTATTGATACTTTTTAATTTTTATTGTAATCAAAGTATTTTTTTGCATGTGAATAATAAAACCAAAGATTGTACAGATTTTATTTACTAAATTTGGTCCTATGAAACATCGTGATAAATTATCGTAAAAAGATTGTCAATGATCATCAATCATCAACCAATTAGTTATTTAGAAATCTAGCTAATGCACAAAAATGGGTTCATTCAAATTATGATCACACGGCGTGACATTTAAGATACATACAACAATATTTTTTGCAGAAGACGTTGATAATTGGATGCACTAAATTTTGGTGTAATAGAAACGTTGTATTAGCAAAAATTTTAATTTATTTTTCATTTATGTAAATGTAAATATTGTTTTTATAAAAGTTACTAATCTTTTTGGTTAGTTTATCACGTATTTATTACAATTGATTTTACAAAATTGTAACAATAATATTTTTTTTACAAAATAACAAAAACAAAAAATCAAATAACTTTATTTAATAAATTTAACAACAAAGAAAATGTAGTTGAAACATTATAACAAATAGCGAAATAAAAAAAATGTATAACATAATCATTAAAAAAAAAACCCTCCAAGACACCAAGAAGGGAAAAAAAAAGGTAGAACTAATCATGTAAAAGATAGTTAAAATACTTGTTTAAATGTTAATAACTACATATAAAATAAATAAAATAAGAATAATTAATACACTATTGACCACTTTATTCAAAAGTAAACTAAACAAATGTAAACTAAAGACGTCATTTTGATTTTGAGCTCGTTAGTTTCTTGATTTTTTTATTTCAGCTATGATCCATTACTTGTCCGTATGATCCTCTCTTCTTGTATTCTGAAAGGATCAATTCGAGATCTTTACCTCCTTGTTCGGCATCTCCATTAAACTTGTTTTGAATTGTTATTTCGCTATAATTTTTATTTCCTAGCTCTTTTTCCTCTTTTCTCACTTGATTGAAATAGTTATTCACGTTACCGAAACTAAAGTTTAATGCATGTTTTAACTGTTCATTGCTCATTCGTTTATTTCTTTCTTGAGCATCAAGTGACAATTTCCGAGCATATTCATCTGCCTGTGCTGTGAGAAAATCATGGGTTAGGCCTATGAGCTTCACTATTTCTGGCGAACAGTTATTAACGTTAATCCCAGTGCTTGAAATCCATCTTTTAAATTCTTCTTCTAATTCCTCAACGAGAAAAGATGGATTTTCCTTATCTCTGAGTTGTGAACCAACGTTAAATAGGTGAACTTCCAAATATTGCTTATTGGACTCTAGGTCTTGGAATTGAATACTGTCAATGTTATCACGAGATTGTTTTCTTTGATTCCAATCAGAATAGTGCCTAGTAGAATCAATGCATGCTTCCAGTCGTTTAATCGCAATTTCGAAGGTATCGAGAAGATTTTTTCTATCGATTGCTAACACCACTAGTTGCTCTTTCAACATTTTGTTTTCTGTTATTGTGTATATTGAGTATTAATTAAAAAAATTTATAAAGCGAATTTTTTTTTTTTTTTTTTTTTTTTGCAACCTTGAAATTTAATCAACGAATTTATATACGAAACAGAAAATAAATCTTACAAAAAAAAATTGACAAATGAGAATTAGATTTATTTTAAATGCATATTTATCGTAATATAAATAATTATAGAAACACAAAAAGCTGATGGGCGATAAACATTTGAAATGTGAAAAAAAAAAATTTTCAATTTATTTTTAAGCCAACATGCAAAATCATATGCTTTCATTTGAATAATATAAGATTTGGATTGATAAGAAAAATTTAAGATGAGGGTTTTCATGATATTGTCTTGCATTTTTATTTGTCATATGTTTGCGCAGCAGATAAGTTGAATTTTTAATATAAGGGCTGGATCTTTCAAGATAAAAATTTTTTTAAACAAAGAGTAAATAACAAATAAGACATTAAAAAAATGGGCGAAGAAAGATTTTTCCTTTTAGAAGTAGCTTGCCCAGCAAAGGGTTGTGATAATAATGATGTCTACAGTTGGGTACACAGCTCCGACGAAGGCCGTGTGAAATTTTCCAACCGCGCCCGAATTCAATGTAGCAAATGCTCAGTGACTGACCATATTAAATATTGGGAATTTGATTGTCGGAAGCATAAGGGAGGATATCAACCGGCTAGTAATTCTTCATATTCTAAAGCTATAGGTATCGCTATGGAAGCAGGAAAAATGGATCGTGGCTTGGCTCTTGAATTCTTAACGTTCTTAATTAATAATCCTTGGTGAAAGTGATTGGTTATTTTCATAATTGAGAAATTTAAACACATTAAACTAAAGTAGTTAATTCGCATATTAAATAAATTTTTTTTTATTTTGTCTGTTGTTATTAGCTATCTTTTACATGATTATTCCTACTTTTTTTCCCTTCTTGGTGTCTTAAAGGGTTTTTTTTAGTGATCATGTTATTTCTTTTATTAAGCCTTGTTATAAGTTTTAACTACATTTTCTATATTTGTTGTTATATTTTCATTAAATAAATTATCTGATTTTTTGTTTTGTGTTATTTTGTTGTAAAAATACCTAATAAATTAACTACATGTTTGACGGGTAACGACGGTACGTAATCTTACAATACTTTATAAAAATCATTATGGGATTATTTGTGTTACATTTGTATAAAATTTTTATTAAAAACACATTCATATGTAAATCTGTTTCATGCTTGATAATGCTTTAATTTCGCTAGAACTAAAGGTTTGACCAGAATTATTATAGATTCAGTCTGCAATAATAATGCCGGTCGAAATCACCATTTTTTTTAAAGCCGAGATTCATAATCTTATTCTGTCATGATCATCACATGAAAAAAGCATTTATTACGAAATCATCCTGCCCATAAATTTGCAGCGAGAATGTCCAGACGCAAATTCCAGATAAATTCTGGAATTTCTTTTCATAGAGATTAGTTGCTTTTAAACTTGTTTTGATTTAGTCAATTTAAGCAATGAGTGACTTTAGCCGCCTTAAATGCAATGACTGTACAAAATATAATTTTAATGAGTCTCGGGCATGGAATCAATTGTTCTAATTGAGCTGCTTGGTTCGGCTCAAAAGGAGCCGATATTTGACTACAGAGCTGACTCCAAGTCGCACTTTTTCCATCCCTAGTTTTTTGAAGAATGTTTCTTTGGATTTTCTCTAATGGAGGAGGCTGAGTTATGGTCTTTTTCTTGATTTTTTTTTTTGGTGGAGAATTACTTTGAATTTTAATAAAGAAATTAAGAATGGCTCTCCAATGTAGTGAGTTTAATTCGTGATTTAATTAGTCTTGTAAATATTAGTGTCGTAGCACACTCATTTATTAGGTGTATTTGGAAGAAAACACACAAGTAAGGTGTGCGTCCTTTATAACTAATTCATTCATATTGTATCATACTTCATATTTATATCCATAATACAACGAGTTCCGGAAAGGTAATCATACAAAATAAACCTGTCGCTTATTCTCATAGATGGATAATGTTAAAAAAAAAAATTTTTTGAAAAAATATTTTTTAATCACGTAAATGTTTTATATAGGATACAAACGAATAAACAAACATTATAACTAGATCATGAGCTGCCGCTTTACAAAATAAATATTTCTGCGGAGATAGGATCACGTTACATTCTATGCCATAGAAAAGAGTATCACATGATTCCTTCATAGGAAGGGTAGAACAAAATAGCACTGAATCCGCTACTACTAGTAACTCTATTGACTAGTTTACTGATTTGATGCTATAAGTGGGAAGCTTTGATCCTTTGTTTGTCTTATTTTCATCTTGTGATATTTATATGAACATTGTAATACGATCACTCCGCCGAAGAACGTAAAAAATGTTGTATTAATCTGTCACGCAGCATTGGGTATCCATGGATTCGATTTTTTCTACATGTTATAGACAAAGTAACACTTAAGATTGAATGTAATCATTACCAATGTCAACAAATTACAATCTGTTTAATATCGATACGGTTAAATCAAATATTTACGCTCTTTGTAAGCATGTAATAAAAATTGCTCTTCACATAATAGTTAGTCCATTGTGGTTTATTAAAATAAATGTCAAATGAGCTTCTTGCTATATACATAATAAATTACATTTTCCGTGTTTCGGTTATCTATGAACACATGACATAGGACCCTTAGGGATCGATTTCATATGACATTGGACAAAATTCACACGTCATATTTCTGTTCATTACCCACCTGTAATTGTGATCACGAAATACATAAAAAAAAATCGGTCAGTATCTATTGTTGGATGATATGAAAACATATGATGATAGCGAGATGTATTTTACCTTCTTAGTGTCACGTTAATTCATATCCTATGCATCTTTCCGAATATCTTGGATCAACGAATGACTACATTTTTTTTCGCAGACGTATTTTAATGCGAACTTTATTTCCAAGTAAGTTTTCTTCTCTAGCCAAGGAAAGACACTAATATCAACGATATCATCCATAAACACGTATTTACATTATTTTAGGTGTAGCCCAGCCTCCGACCCTATGAACCCAGGTTCCTAGAACCTCCTTATTGAACTAGCGTGGTTGAGCGGCAAGACGGTCATATTATTGTCCATGTTCCGGTAGACCACACATTATAATATTGCTTTGTAAATAATAGTTATTCAAATAAACTCCTTATACTACAAAGAATTAAATGTTTCTACAGACTCGCATATTCCATCGAAAGTATAACGTTAAAAATAATTACCGTCTACGAAATGCCATTTCTCGTTTTTTTCCTTTCATTGTAACATTTCCACAGACTGAGTCTGCTAGTTGCTTTTTTAGACAAGACGCCACACATTATAAGTCATATTCTTCACCAAACGCAGCATTGGAAATAACTCCTAAATGTTCTGATTGTGTAATCAATACGTCAGATATTTTCTTTCATCAACTACCTTGAATTACTGATTTAGTGAAATTCCTTTTCCGATAAAAGATAAGTTTGGACCATATGGATACATGAGAGGATGTTGATTGAATATATTCACAGCGAATCACTCAAGACCCTTCCCATATTGCTTAGTCTGAGTCATAATACAGTGCAACAAAGCCCCGTCCTCATCATCTATGTTATGAATTTCTTTTCATAAATAAGCAAAATACTTGTATTAGTTATGTTGTATCAAAAGAATGCTGCGATCAAGATAAATACAAAAAAGTCTTACTTGGTGTAGATTCTGGTATGTCTGTTATTCACACATCTTCTGCGCATATTTTGAAAACTCTTTTAAGTCTTATTTTTGTATGAGAACAACGAAGATTTTTTTCTCTGCATTCGTTGGCGAAAGTCACGGGTATTGGGGAAAAAATGGGTCACGCTCATATTTTGATTTATGTTATCCAGTAGCATTAGCTAGTTTCACCGATAACATAATTTGCTTTTCAATATATGTAATAATAGTCAGAAAAAATAAAACATTGCCACGTAACATTACTTTTGAAAGGTATAATAAACATTTATTATTTTTTCGTTATAAGGACAATCTCGGAACAAACTGTTCGTTGAATATATAAAGTAAAGGTTGTAATTTACACTAGTATAAACCTCTTTCCAGTTCTAGCTTCGGCATGATCTAAAATTACATGAATGGGAATAACAAAAGCTTGATTGCTATTTGGGTAAACTCCCTGAAAAATACCCCACAGTCTACCAATGTTATCAAAAACAGGTGAACCCGAATCTCCATAAGTACCTGTTGATGATATAATATGCCATTAATAACTTGTCCTCAGACATTATTAACGAAATCAGGACTTACCAAAATTTCCACTATTTCCATAGACGAATAGAGCAGAGGCTTCTCTAGATAAACTCTTAGGCCTAAAATATTTCCATTTATCTAACACATACCCATGTGTATGGAATGTTGTCCTACCAACCTTCTCAACCTTAATAAAGTCGAGCTTTTTCTTCTGATTATTTGGATCGTTTTCAACGGATTGTTTATGTTCTTTAAATAATAACTTCAGTTCCAAATGGAATGTTACTAGGTATTGATATTTCTCGTTTGTTGATCTCACAAAAAGCATAGTCAAGAAAACGTCCTTCTTCGTCAACACCATAAAAAGTATACATAACTTCAGCGCAATTATCCCTAGGTGTCATACCCTGATCATTAAAAGGAGTCAACAAGCGGACAAAATTAAGTCAATCTTTAATGGGTGCATACTTGGTCAGAACTCCCTGGTTGAATTACGAGGTTACTATTTCTAACTCCATGTTCTACTGTAAGTATATATCTTTTGTTTTCATCTTGTTCTGTTCTAAACACTGGTCCTAACGTAAATGTTTGGTCGCTATTTGGATTAATAACATTACCAATACTTATACCAGGCTTAAGCTCATCATGACGTTTACGATGAGCCGGTTCAATTTCCCCATAGTCTATTAGCACACGATATCCTTCGAACTCGCCAGGTAAATTAACTTGCGTGCCTTTGGGTAGACATACTAAAGCAACAAGTACCGCCTTCTCGTCAACCTTTCCTGAACTTACGCAAGATAATGGAGTTTCTTTATATTTATCCCAGAAGAAATCAGATACATATTCAAGCTCACTAAGAATTTTAATATCTTCAATTGAAAGAACTTTACGGTCGCCAAGCTGTTCCGCCACATCTATTTGACGTAACATAGTTGCATTAGAACACGCACAGGTTTAATATTTCGAGTCTAAATAAAATGAACACTCACGTGGTGTTTTCTTATTCTCAACTATTTTAAGTCTATTGATTTCTTCATCGATTTCCATTTCATTTATTGTTTCATCTGTTTCACGTTTCTTAAAAAAACTAGTTGATTCCTCATTATTTTCAGGGTTAATGAGAGCAAGTTCTGAAAATACTTGCTGGATATCCAAACCTATCTGCAGAACTACCCACAGATTTAAAATCCAAACCTTACCATTTAATATCGGGTTTCTTTATTTTGTGGTGCAGTTATCCAAGTCAACAAAACTATATAATCAGTTTTAACAACCAGATAAAGCGAAATATGTGTTAATACTAGCAACAACGAAAGAAATGGAAAATAGATAACGAAATAATAGTAAATCGTCTTGCTCACTTTCTATATAGTCCTCGCTGTTTACTTTTTTTAAAATCGTTTCCAAATCGATGTTGAGAACAGAGATATAATATAAATACTATGACAGTATTAAGTTTCGTATGCGACCAAGACAGTTGTTAAAGGTGTTTTTTGGTAACAGATGAACGGAAAATGTCCGGGAAAACTGGGTGTAATGATTTTTTGGTGCGACAATCAAGACACAAGTTACTGGTCAACTATGTGACACACATCGGCAGTGATGTGCATTGGAAGCTTCCAATGAAATTTATTGGAATTGGAAGTTCCATTGGAAAAAATTGGAAGAATTGGAAAGATGCCGATCTTCCAATGTTTCATGTGCATTGGAAGCTTCCAATCAAAATTCTTGGAAATTGGACATAGTAATTGGAAGCTTCCAATGGAAGCTTCCAATACAAAATTAGTAATTTTATTGTCACGAATGACGTAAATGACACGTATATTAATTATCAAAATTACAATACGTTTTTATGTGATCGTTTCATTCCTTTTTTTAATAATGAAAAGACCCAGAACCCACCGTCTTACTAAATATATAAAGGTTCTTGGAAAACAAAATTCATGTAATACCTACGCGGCATGTATTGCTTGTTTTGAAAGGTTGGAAAGTAGTGAACTTTCAAGAAATACTTTTACAAATAAAAAACCGCAAGTTAAAAATCACTTGAAAAATTGTCCATATTTTCGAGAAAAAATTGGAAATCAAGAAGAACTAGATGATATTATTAATTTGACAGATAATGAGATAGAAGAAGAAATATGTCAAAAACGTAAAAAAGTGGATAATGAATTTGGTAAGAATGATGAAAAAGTCTTAAAGTATTTAAAATCTTTGCAGTATAATTTCAAAATTCCAAAATTTAAATCAATAGAAGAAACAGGTTCGGTAAAGTCATTTGGGTCATTTGCTTCAACAACATCATCTGCACGCAACTTTAATTCAAAAAATACAATTAAAAATAATCTCATTCGCACTCCTACTAAAAGTGAAATACCAAAATTTGAACGTCTTTTATTAAGAATGTCAGTAGCGAATGGTTTTGCATTTCAGTGGATTGATCACCCTGCAACCTTGGAACTCTTTGAATTTTTAAATCCACATCTCATATTACCAAATAGAAAAGCTCTATCTAATCGTATATTAACGAAAGAAACTGAAAACTTGAATACATTGAGAAATGATAAATTAATTAATGATAAAGTTGGGGTTGTATTAGCGTTTGATGGTTGGAAGAACATTTTAAATCAGCATATATTCGGATCATTATTTATATCGTCTTCAGGTGAAATTTTAATATGGGAAGCTTCGGACATTAGCAGTGAACGTGAACGGTTAATTGAAGTAATACCAAAAATAACTGGATTAATTCAAGAAACTAAAAGATTAGGTATTAAACTTAATGCAATAGTGTCAGATAGTGCACCGGCTTATGCTGCAGCACGGTAAATAAATAAAATTATTAAAATGGATGCATGATTAATTTCAAACTATTACTTATTTAATAATTTATCATAGGCGACGTCTTCGATTAGAATATGCAGAAATTGTCTTTCTTCCTTGTTTTGCACACCAATGTCAACTAGCAATCGGAGATATTTTTAAAGAATCATCAATTTTGAAAACTGCATCAAGTAAAGCAATTAAAATTGCTTCTTACTTTAAAAATGCAAATAATAGTTATTTCATTGGTAAATTGCGAGATATACAAAATGAATTGTATGAGAAATATTATTCAATTGTAATTCCTGGTGAAACAAGATGGAACAGTCATTATTTCTGCTTTAAAAGTCTCATTCGATCTAAACAAGCTCTACGAGTAATTTTTTTTTTTATTTATTTTTTATAATAATAATACGACAATTAAAAAAGCTTTTTTATTATTTTTAGAATTTGGCAATTCGTTACGAATGTCCACAAATTGGTTCAGGAGATGAACTTTACTTGAATTCAGAACTTTGCCAAATACTTCTTGATAATGATTGGTGGGAAAAAATTGAGCTTTTGCAAGACATTTTATTACCTTATTGTGGTGTTTTAAATAAGCTGCAATGTGATAAAGCGAGTCTTTATGAAGTGCTTCATGCTCTTGGATATTTTATGCAATTCTGAAAGCAATTTCCCGATACAGATTTAGGCAATCAAATGATCGATCGATTAGAAAAACGTTGGAGTCAATGGGAGCAGCCATTATTCTTACTTTCTTTTGCTCTCCATCCAAAATATCGTTTTGCATATTTCAATTCTGACCTTAATAATTTATCATTTACTTCCTTAGGACGATATTTGACATATTATTATAAAGCATGGTTTAAAAAACGCCCATTACGATTATTATTGGAATTTGAAGATTTTCGTCAGAAAGTTGAACCATTTAATAATGAGACTTTTGAACAATTTGGAGATGATGCTTTTAAATTTTGGGGATACGTAGAAGGTGATTATAAAGAATTGGCTGCAGTTGCTTTAAAAATTTTTGGTATGTGTGTGAATGCTGCATCTGTTGAACGAATGTGGTCTTCCATGGGTTTTTTACATACAGTTCGTCGTAACCGATTAAAAGTAAGTTGTTTAAAGCTAGAACTTCATTATTTAGTTAATATATATATACCAATTTTGATAACGAATTAATTAATTTAATTATTAAACAATGGTTTATTTATTAATTTATTTTATGGCGAGTTTTTTTATTAGATCCTTTAGTATTTGTTTAATGTTAGGTTTCTTATTTATTTAATTATCATTTCTTTTATTAATTAAAATATTAAAATTTTTTTTTTTTTAATAGAATGAAAAAATATTAGCAATGAGTCAACTTCGGACATCTATTAATTTTTCGTTAAGAGAAAAGGAATTACAACAAAGTCAAATCCAATTTTTGGATTCAAATGCTCTTCCAATGGAAACTGATTCTGAAGGTTTTACGCCAAATTCAAATATTGAAGAGGACGAAGATATTGAAGATAACACTATTGTTACTCCTGAACATTGGGAACAAGAATTGAGAGAGTGGGAAGAGATGTTAATAGAAGAAGAGGTAGCACGATTGGAAGAGGAAGAGGAATTAAGGAGTAATTCAAATAATAATATGGAAGGTGATCTCTTAAGCGAATATATACATCCAGCAATAGACGAAAAAGCAAAATGGGAGCTTAAAAGTTTATTTAGTTCATCTCTTAATGCTCCTAATTACTTAAATATAGGATCAAATGAATAAAACATAATAAAACTTTTTTTCGTTTAATGCCTTTAAAAATTTTCATTTTTATTTATTTATTTTGTCAAAGTGGGAAACAAATAAGAAGATGCTAGGTTGCGATCAAGGGACTGAAAATAGCCTTTAAAAATTTTTGTATTGGTATCTGATTTAATTTTATTGGATAAAATATGTTCGTGTAATAAAGTGCTTCCAAACTTCCAATAAAAATTCATTGGAATTGGAAGTATGATTGGAATTGGAAGATTTGGAAGTCCAAATGTGCTTCCAACTTCCAATGCCCATCACTGCACATAGGTATTGCGTATGGAGAAATAATATATCCGAAAATATTTCTTCACCCAAATGCGTTAGTTTTAAGGTACAGATATAAGTTAATAGCAATCGGAAACGAAAAATATCTGGAGGGTATTAGTTTTGATACTGTTTTGATGTCACTTCTGACCTTATATCTGTTTAATATCACAGGTGAATATCAGTCGGAGACCGCCCAAAGGGCAAATGTTGTATTTTTTACGCAGTGATTGTTTATTAAGAATATATACTGCTCATGACCCTTACAAATAAAAAAACAAAATAGATTGTATCATTCGATAATAACAAAGTATAGAACTGTCTTGATCGTTTCCCGAAGACACCGGACATTAGTAAAAATTATTCTCGTTTTAATGGAGATTCCAGCGTACAATTATACGACAAACCCAAGTGAGTTTATTATTTATTGAGTTTATTTTTATGTTAGCTTCACCGCATATTGTAAAGGTCTAACAACTAATTCTTTATATCGTATACCCACTTCGTCGGCAACTGGATATGTGATTTGATTAACAGACATTAAGGTGAAACATTTTTCGTCCACTCTATGATTGATGATGTAAGAACAACGAAGAATATTGTCCGAATAGTTAACCATTCATTGGAATTTATTGTTATCTCTAGCAATAGACTAAAATTAGTTTTCGCATTTGTGATGCAGGGTTTATTGAAGGATCATACGAACGATAATAGCTAGACTCATATTATGGATTAACCATATTCTAACACATATGGATATCTACGAAAAAAGCAAGTAATTAGCAACAATTCTCTCATTATTTCTACCATGACAAGGATGGGTGATTAAACACTTTATTGTAGATAATTAAAAGGAACATGCGAAACCTGGAATTTGCCCAGTCCTGGAGGACCACCAAAGGTGTAAAGTAAACGATTGGTATGCGTTTACAACAATAGGATCTGGTGATTTATCCCATGTCACTGCTATATAGTGACAGTTTATTAGAGCGTCATGCTAACAAATGTAGCTTCCAAACTAAGGATCACATTCCCTTCGGGAATGCCCTTCAGCATTCTGTAATATTACTTGTTGAAACAGAGGGAAAACAATGACTCTGTTTGATGATGGAACATTTTCACATAAGCATTGGAGAGTTGGTACATTTTCATCATATAGATTCTGTAACGACTCAAGAACTCGCTTAATAACAGGCAACGCTAGTCAGGGTTTGTACCAAAAATTTGATATTTACCTTATTTCTGTGATAAGTTTGCGATTTCATTGAATAATGGACAAACATATTCTTACGTGCGTAGATTGTAAAGATAGTTCTGGTTACCGATGGAGTAACTTATGTAATGCATGTGCGGTAAACGTTTTCAACAAGATTCTGGAAAATGGAGCAGTGGTAACGATGATATGGACAGGTTTATTCAAGATGAGCAGTTACCAATAAAATTTGGACTGGATAATACAGTGATACCTTATGGTAGTTTCTCTGATATTGAATTTATTGCAGAGGGGATACAACCGTTACTTAGTTGCTGTTCTGATACGTNAAAACCCAAGTGAGTTTATTATTTATTGAGTTTATTTTTATGTTAGCTTCACCGCATATTGTAAAGGTCTAACAACTAATTCTTTATATCGTATACCCACTTCGTCGGCAACTGGATATGTGATTTGATTAACAGACATTAAGGTGAAACATTTTTCGTCCACTCTATGATTGATGATGTAAGAACAACGAAGAATATTGTCCGAATAGTTAACCATTCATTGGAATTTATTGTTATCTCTAGCAATAGACTAAAATTAGTTTTCGCATTTGTGATGCAGGGTTTATTGAAGGATCATACGAACGATAATAGCTAGACTCATATTATGGATTAACCATATTCTAACACATATGGATATCTACGAAAAAAGCAAGTAATTAGCAACAATTCTCTCATTATTTCTACCATGACAAGGATGGGGGATTAAACACTTTATTGTAGATAATTAAAAGGAACATGCGAAACCTGGAATTTGCCCAGTCCTGGAGGACCACCAAAGGTGCGAAGTAAACTATTGGTATGCGTTTTACAACAATAGGATCTGGTGATTTATCCCGTGTCACTGCTATATACAGTGGTGAGCATATTTTTTTGGGCGGAGCCCAGTTCCACTGGAAAAAGAAAGAGGCAAAATACGTAAAAAACGTATAAATAACTGCCTAATATGGCCATTTTCACACATTCGTCATTCCAAATAATTTTGATCACCACCGTAGTGACAGTTTATTAGAGCGTCATGCTAACAAATGTAGCTTCCAAACTAAGGATCACATTCCCTTCGGGAATGCCCTTCAGCATTCTGTATTATTACTTGTTGAAACAGAGGGAAAGCAATGACTCTGTTTGATGATGGAACATTTTCACATAAGCATTGGAGAGTTGGTACATTTTCATCATATAGATTCTGAAACGACTCAAGAACTCGCTTAATAACAGGCAACGCTAGTCAGGGTTTGTACCAAAAATTTGATATTTACCTTATTTCTGTGATAAGTTTGCGATTTCATTGAATAATGGACAAACATATTCTTACGTGCGTAGATTGTAAAGATAGTTCTGGTTACCGATGGAGTAACTTATGTAATGCATGTGCGGTAAACGTTTTCAACAAGATTCTGGAAAATGGAGCAGTGGTAACGATGATATGGACAGGTTTATTCAAGATGAGCAGTTACCAATAAAATTTGGACTGGATAATACAGTGATACCTTATGGTAGTTTCTCTGATATTGAATTTATTGCAGAGGGGATACAACCGTTACTTAGTTGCTGTTCTGATACGTAAAACATTTACAAAGCAAATCATTTAATAGATGATCATCGATTTGGATCGAAAGCCTGATCCCAGAAATTAGGAGTGTATATCATATACTTTGGTTATATATATTGCTGCGTTGCGTAGTAAATTCATATTAGTTAATCGAAAAAATAATAATCCGATATCCAAAGTGAAAATCGTAGTTACTTATACAATCACAAATATACTAAGAATATTCGAAAGTGTGTTTTTAACTAGACTATTTTCTGCACATGGTCAACGGATCTTTCTTTAGGTTATTCACATACTTTTTAGATTTTTGTTTATAACTGTTTTCCTTTTTTTTCTTTGAGGGGTGTTAGACAACACGTAATTGTGATGATGGGTTACATAATAATCACATGAACTGTTTATAACAAATAGAGTATAATAAAAGATATATTTATTTCTTACCACATATCATGGAAATATGTCAAGCGATAATTTGTGTAATTTGTGTATCAATTGTGCATCATTCATTGACCATTTTTTAGCATAAAAAATCATTGCCGGAACAACAGATACATGAAAATAAATTCTTGAAAAAGGTTATATAATGCGGACATAATAATTCCTAATAAGGACCCAACAATTCAACACTATACTCTTTATGTAATCTTTTAATCTCACTTAACATGTTATCGATAATTCTATTATTCTTTTTTAATGTTTTTTGGTAGTTATCACGTAATTTATTGAATTCAGAGGCGGTCACAACTTCAACGGACGTAGGGTGCTCTTCTGCTTAAAAAAAAATACGGAATAAATTATAGTATAACCGAAGCTTGGTTTTACTCAAGAGACATAGTGTATATTATCACAGTAACTCACCTTGTTTTTCTTTGAGTTTTTCTACTAACTCCATAATATCGGTTGCGTTTCCAAACTTAATTTTGAATGGACCATTCTCATTAGTAAGCATTTGTATGGTTAATCTGAGAAAAGCTTTTCCACCGGTATTCTGTTTTTCAATTTTTTCAATGTCATCTTCATCATAACTTGAATTATTCATATGTCTCTTGAGATGCTTTTTAATGTGAGCTGGAGTCCAATCTTTAACATTGGCTGGAAGTTTGTCAGACATCATTGAAAGACCCATTTTTTGAACAGCGTATACATACTTATATATAAATTATAAATGTAGCATCGATCACGAAAAATATAATGCAAACTCGATGCAAAACAGGGATCTAACCTTTTGAGATTAGCAATTGCTTATTTGGTACAGGGAAAAATTAAAGCCGTAACGTTCATACTGATCTGAGGATCCTCTGAGTATGTGTATCAAGAGAACTTTTCTTACTGCGTATATTTTCCAATACACATTTACAGTGGTGATCAAAAATAATTGGAATGATAAATGTGGAAAATGGCCATATTCGACAGTTTTAACCTGTTTTTACATATTTTTCCTCCTCCTTTTTCTGACCGTCTTGCCGCTCAACCACGCAATGGTCTTAGGGTGTTCCTAATGGCTCTGCCCAAATAATTATGTTCACCACTGTACATCTATATTGCACAGGCATTCCGTATCCCATATCCCCACAATATGTTTCAACCAATGAATAATAATAATACTTTTTCGTAAATACTTGGCCGTGAGACCTTACGCAAGAGAAAAGTTTTTGTTAATAAAAATTTATTGAAACATTTGTTGGATCCCTCTGGGATCACGTATGTACAGTATGTGAATAAGCTATATCCGAGGGTCCTATGTCATGTGCACATTGATACTTCAACTAGATATCCAAAGTGGGAAAACGAAATTACTTATACAATCACAAATATACTAAGAACATTCGGAAGTGAATTTTCAACTAGACTACATAGATTTTTATTCTTATTCATTGATGACATCTCGAAGCACAATAATTATGGTTAACCAATAGATTTATCATTTCCGGTATTTACATTAATTAGCCAACTTTGTGTCTTGCAAACTAACTATACAAAAATAGTCCATTTGCTTTGTATGTCGTGATATCATGCAAATAAAGCTCAATAAATAGCAGATAATCCGAAAACGTTCAGTGGACATGCTTAAGAATAAAAACATATTCCATGTCAATACAAAATGTCCTCAGTTGATTCATCGTCACGAATCGTGACAGTTTTTCTTCAGCGGAATGAGACTAAGTCCAAATGAATCTGCAAAATCCAATTATATACATATGGGCATTTTATGTAGAGAAAGAAAAACAATGACTGATACCATTAGTCTCAATTGCTTAGTTATTCCTTGTGCATCGGAAAGCATCTCAAAACATAGTATTATTGTTCATGTCTTTAGCTTTATCAGAAAGATATGCCTTTGTTTTCGAGCTCTAAATAACTATATCAAAAGGGTACATTTCACGTGTCTATGATCAAATTATTTTTTGTCTACTGTTTTCTTCTGCAATCAAATATTATCTGTCACTCACTTTCGATTATTCACTTCTTTGAAGGTCCTACGGACTAAATACTTCATCTCTTGTAATCAATAAATACATGTCTACTGTTTCTTCGACGATAGAACACATCTACTCTCCGCTGTGATCACTAAATATCTATAAAATATTTTCGTAATTATCTTGAGCAGGTCGAAACCCAGTTATTACAGATGTATGAAATGTATCCCTTGGGCATATATAATAATTTTATCGAACTGATGTTACCAATATTCGTTATAACAAACTCCACATTCGTTGTTCAGAATATATACTAAGTATGTTAGACATAGCAATCAATTATCCAGGCTTTGCCTAGTTTCACTGAAACAAAAAATATATTCTTTTTCGTTGTAGACACAAAAACCCCCTATTTTTTGTGTAAAAGATTCTCCCCCATTTTTTGATTATTCGATACCACCCCCTATTTATTGAGCCAACACTAGTTATTTGCATCAATAGTTACTGCAACTTTATCGACCTAGAAGAACTCATAACCAGAGCATGTGTTTTATGTATCTGTTGGCACGTGAACAACAGAGTTCACAGAATGTGAAAAAAATATTATCAAGTGTCGGACTTTTAGGTGTACTACTGTAATAATAAATTTTGAGACATATACGTGAAATATGGCAACTGTAACGATCCTCATCTGTTATACCAAGAATATAAGAATCATGTGCTTTTTTTCAACGAATAAAAATCGTCTCCATTTACTATCACCATTCGATCATTTATCTTTAAGAAATAAATAAATAAATAAAGCATTCGATCATTTTTTAAGTTAAAAAATTAATCATGTAAGAGACAACCTTTGATCATAGTATGATTTGAAATATGTAAACGCAGTACATAGTTTTAAATTCTCAAGAGACGAACAGAAGAAATAGAACACCATATTTTATACATTAATTATATTCTAAGACTTAGTTTATTTTGTTTCCAATAAAGAAATACGGTATTACAAAAATTAACTATCAATATGCGATTCATTATACCCTGTAAATTGTACTAATTGATACTTGGAACATATCTGCTATTTTTTTCTGTATTCGATTTCTGTTATTAACGGAATGATCGTTCCCTTTTCATCTACATGTTTACTAATTCGGATTACTTCATCAAAAAACAACGTGTGTAGGTTTAAACACGAAGAGATATGAAATCATTGCTATAACAAGAAGGTTCCAAAGAAATATAGCCAACACACGACCATGTTACTCTATAACCATTGACATTTTGTTCTTTGATGTCATTTTCATTATATCCTGAATCATTCATAATTTCTTCGAGAAATGGTTTAACGTGTCCCGTAAACTACTCAAGATTCTTTGGTCGTTCTTCTGTCAACATTGGATATCCTATTTTCAAAGAGAATGTATTTATGTATAACTAATAAATTACCAAACAAAAGGCGCAGAAATACGACTAACTTTTTCGTTTTTAGTGAGATCACTGAGATGATACAAGAAATAACAAGTGTAAATAGGAGCTGGTTTGAAATTGAGTAAATTTTCTATTTCTTTATCATCAAATCAATGTAAGCCCTAGAGGGTTCAAAAAATTTTTAATACCTTAACGTGAATTCAAAAGCAAAAAAATCCCTTCAACTTACGTAAGCTCCTATAAATTGCGTAGTAAAGTGTAGGATCGTTATAACTTCCAGATTATTTTATACTAAAATGTGTATAAACGTTCAAATCAATATTTGAACCATTGCCGCATATGACTCATTTCCAAAAATATTTTACGAATAAAATCGCGGTAAGTTTCTTGGTTAACGTTCGCCTTCATCCGTAAAATAAAGCTATTAAAATAAAATAGTTGTGAAAATGCTGTAACCATTAAATTGTTGTTTGAGTAAATGTCCTAGTTAACTTTATACCTCAAGACTTTTTTAACTGGCTCCCCTATGAACAACAGAGAAAATTTAGTGCTGAACACTATAATAAAGATAATATATATCGTTCATTAATCGCTTCACTAATTTTGACGCCCCTATTTGTTCAAACAAAACGCACATATCAGAAAATATAACTTACTTCAGTCTTGACCTTTGTAACAAGTCATATTGATAGACGTATTTATAGAGTAATATTAGTACCTTTCAGACAAAATGAATTCCTGCATCGCTCGTTATTGCTAATTTTCACAACAAGTTTCTCGAACAGTAGTTGGACGTTAATCTAAATTGTTTACACAGTAGGAACCTCCTGATAGTTTCTTAATAAGAACTTTCGCTTGAAAGTATATTATAATCTCATGACAATAACATAATAATAACTAAAAATGTTGTGAGATTAATCGGTATACAGATTATTACATTACTTCTCAACCATCTAACGCTGCAAATTTCTCTTTTAATGGAAAGGGTTATACTGAACATAGAATGACGATAGTTGTAGCAACTAATCCTTCTCTTCCTTTTCACCTTCATTTTGATCATCACCATAACAAAACTATGAAAAAGATTTTAGAAAATATAACCATTTAAAAAATATGACCAAACATTTGATTAAATACATCAATATCTACAGTATCACGTTCTTTGATATAAAAATTTTTTTGAATTATGCATGGACAAGGATTATGTTGATCATAAAATCAAATTAAATACATTAAGAATGACAATATTCTCAACTATTAATAAATTTAATCAGAATAAAATGACAGTTGATTTAGGTTGTAAATAAGTTTCTTTAAAGAAATTGATAAAAGATTAATTAAGGAAGGGAATTAGGGTAAGAGGATTAGCGTAAAGGGTAGGAAGATTTTAAATATAATCATACTCTCATCTAGATATTCAATCGTGACTAAATTCCTTCCAAAGCGGTTGATTAGTTTTACAGGTATTAGTCTATATTAATCAATATAACAAATTTTTTGTTAATACAACAATATGAATTCAGAATAAAAAATTTCTTCTTAACTTACGTAAACTCTCACAATTTGCGTAATGAAGTGTTGGGCCGATATGGTCACATTTTCTAAATGATGAATTGTCACTCGTCATTCCATGCCAAAATTGTAAATGTCTCAAGTTCAAGTATGAATAATTTGGGCGTCGCAAATTCATAACCTCTTCGCGGTGAGAATCACAAATGAAGTTTATCAAGGAGAATAATATTGGACTCACTTTCCAATTATTTTAACGAGAATATCTATTATTGTAATTATGACAAGTCTTTTGGTTTAACGTTTGCCCGTAAAAATTGAGCTATTGAAAACAGAATCACTGCAACTTGAAAATGGTTAAAAAAAAAATGCAGTTTGAGTAATTAGTAAAAATAAATATTCTACATTCACGTTTCCTACTGTACCTTACCTCAACAAAAGGGTTTTCCCGCCTTGTACGTTATTTGATCTTTTTAAATAACGGTATAACGTCCCTCACGTCCTATAAATTATTTATCAGGACATTTTATTAATTGGAAGAAAATTTTTAGAAGTAAGAGTTTCACAAATTATAAATAGCGAAATTTATTGTCACGTGAGATTCAGAATGTATGTAGATTCGATTAAATTTATCAATTACAATATCGCGAGACCTAATTATAAAATAGCTTGTGATTGAATTAAGGAAAGTATCATTTTTTTGTCGCTTGGTCAGCGTACTATATGCTAATCAGAATTTTCCGTTCCGTTATAATTTTTTGTTGATGAAATTTACCGTAAAGGTTCCGAGATGGATGAGACAAATTTTTATTACTAATTTAATATAGTATTAAAACTATAAATTTCCTAAATAATGAATTATTACTGATCATTATTATTGTGTTATTTGTGGAAAGTAGAAACGTCGTAACGTGAAATAATTTGGTGAAGTAAATATTTCAAGAGCATATTTACAACGAGTTATATTATTAGGAAAGACATTATTTTTACAAACATCTTCACTAAGAACTTTCTTAATAATAATAATTTTGGAATAACATCCAATAACTGATAAAGTAAGTTCTATCTATAATTGGTGAATATGAATTTGAACAACCTAATCACTTTATTCTTGCACCAGTAATTATTGCTTGATATGATTGATTTTTCTACCGATAATTATAATATCGGCTCCTGAAGTCGCCCTTACAAAAAAAAAGAGAAACATAAAACTATTAAACCATATTATTATAAATTATTCGAAAAATCTGGACCAAATATATAACCTGATTTTCCTTAAATATCCTTTTAACTCGATTATTTGATTTTGGCACCATGTTACCACTGTTTCGATTTCAGTAAATTTGAACTCCCATAAAAGATTTCGAAACCAACTAGATCTCCTTGTCATAGATTTTTTTGTTTTGAAGTTAAATATTGGCATCGTACCTATCGTATTAAATTTTTAAAATTAATATCGATATTTATAACATACAGCATACGTTAAACTCAATATATGTATTTAAAATTTCTCTCAGCTTAGCACAGTTGTAGAATTAAATTTTCATGTTTAGTATCTAATATTTTATCTTTAATGCTTCTTGTTCAAAATTTAACATTCTTAACTTGAAGTACAACTTGTAAAAAAAATAGTACCGTCATGCTTAGTCCTTTTTTTGTCTTTCCATATTTAAAACATTTAGAGAAACTATTACAACTAACTAAATATGTCATTCAATATCATGGTCGCTGGTAATTTGATTTAGCAAATAACATTAGGCTACTTCAATGGACCAACAGTAGGCCAGTTCGATCGGCTTTTTTGGTCATGTTACACTAATCTCATGATCAAAGTTCAATTTTGATTGATAAACATAAAGCAACCAATAGTTATGGCTTTGTTTATTTTTGTCAGTATTTTTGTCTACTCGACCAAAACAACCTACGTTTTTGGTGGTTCACGTTGAACGGTCAGTTGATCATTCTACAGTTAAATTTATTGGTCTGAATTTTTAGTGCAACCGACCAAATATCCCGTTCAATCAATTATGAACAGGTAAGACGATGTAGGATCAACCACTTGTGTGGTGTATGACGAAAAAATAACCCGTGTATAAAATACACCCTTATCTTTATAGGTAAGACGAAAACCAGTGGTGTAGGATCAACCACTTGTGTGGTGTATGACGAAAAAATGACCCGTGTATAAAATACACCACAGCTTATCTTTGTTAATATTATATATATATATTAGCGTTTAAAGTATGTGGTGTATGAAAATTTACATTGATACATAAATACTGTAAATAATAGTAATATTTTATACACAACTGCTTTTTTAAGCTTTTTTTTAAAAAACCTTCGCTCCTTCAGTTATTTATTTAAAAAAAAACAATTTCATGGCGTTTATAACATTTCAAAATGTTGCTAATATCATTTATTTTGATAAGCAAATAAAAATAATAGTATTATGTTTGAACAAAACTAATTAAACTAACTAAAATTTTTGTCAGTAAAAATATATAATAATATTTATAACTAATGGAATCGTGAAATATTTATTTTTATTACTCCATGATACGAATATCAGCTTCCCGTTCTCTTAAAGCAATTTTGCGTTCTTTAAGAGCAAGAACTCGCTCTTGATATTTGAGTTCATTAAGTTTGGAGAATGATTTATTTTCCTTATCTATTTATCATCATTATCATCATGATCTTCAGTATAAGAATTAATCACAATAGCTTTCTTGGACCGTTTCTTACTACTACTCGACTGTGCATTTTGTTTACGCTTGATAGGAACTGATTTTAAAGATTTTTTGACTTGCACATTTGCTAAAGATGTAAATAATTTCATGTAAATAAGTTGGTTATTTAAATTAAAAGTAATAGATTATTGCAACTCCATTTTCACTTGTTGGAGGACCGTCATAGTTAAATCTTCTTCATATATAATATCCACTTCATTAATATCTATAGATGACATTTTTAAGCTATAGTAAAAGTTTATATAAAATAGTATGAAAGTGCTTGATTTATTACAATACTATTGAGATTTTTAAAGGTTTTAATGTAAAACGCGTAAAGAAAAAAAGAAAAAATTTTTTTTTATTATTTTGTGATGTCATGGTTATCACATTATTATTTCATACCGTACAAAGTTACTAGCAAATAGCAATGCACATCGGTCCTTACAAATCATACACATGAAATTTTATGTAATACACCACACGTGAGGTTGACCCTACACCACTGGTTTCCGTATTACTCTGTAATTTCCTATAAGTATATAATATTACCGTATAGCACTGCCTAAGAGACCCCCCTATCCGCGTACCCCCACTATAATATACCCGGGTATGATATGTGGTTAAAAAATCTTAATTCTGGTAAGAATTCGGCTAATTCTGGCCAATTTTTCCATATTCCATACAAGATACCCCCGGGTATAATTCAATTTTTAAGTTGGTGAAATTGATATATACCCGGGGTATTTTAGGCAGTGCTATACGGTAGATTTTAAAATATAAATAAATATATAAAGTAATATAAAAAAACTGAGAGAAATATTATCATACAACAAAAAAATTATATATAAGGTCTTGGACTTTCAGAGGAGGGAAAAATTTTTTGGAACGAAAAAATAATTTTTTTTTCTTTTTCCTATTAATCTTTTATTCTATAAAAAAAATAACGACAATGATTTTTATTAACGAAGATAACTGGCAAAGTTATTCACTTTATGCTTATCTCAATAATAATAATATTCATTACATGAACGTACATAAAAAAAATTACCCCAAAAGAAAAATTATGTTTTGACATTGTATATATGGCGCGACGCCTCCCCACTATAGTAATTAGTAATCTTTTATCTCCTTAATAATTTTTTTTTGTTTCCCTCCTTTCATGTTCAAAAGTTCTGGCTAATAACTATGCGGTTATGTTTGTTTGTTTGTTTGTTTATTCCATGTTTGCACTTCACAAAAAATTTATTACTTAAAGTTTCAAAGGCTGTTAAAAAAAAAAATCCTTTTAATCCATGATATGCTGAAGATCCACGTTCGCTTATAATAACCCTGCATTAATAGTATTTTGGTCTGAACTAAATAACAACTAATTGATTTTTTTTCTCTTTACCAAAATAAAATTATTTCCTTTTCTTTTATAGAGGTGGAATTTCAATCGATTAAAAAGGAAAAATTTTCTTCTAAAAATAAAAAATAAAAATAAAATAAATAAATAAATAAATCAACATTCTTTTTTACAAATCAGAAAAAAAAATGTAAAGGGTACTTCATATCTGCAAAATTACAAATTCATCTCTATGCCATGGTCGCATCCGAAAAAAAATACTTTCTAACTTTTTCTTTCTTTTTTTTAAAAAAAAAGATTTTCAGATAAAGTAATTGACGGTAAATTGGGTCAGTACTCAGCACATCTCTTTACTTTAACATCCTGTTGTGAATCAATCTACATATATTGTAATTATTGCATTTTAGATGTATTTGATAACCACCTTTTTTCATCATAAAACAATTAATTTTTATATTTTATAAACTTGTTGTACATTTTGACATGTTCATCGATGTACCCGTGTTTTTTTGTTTTCTCATTGTATACATCCTTTATAAACTCGGGTGTTTTATTAATGTGCTGATGATTAATATATAACCCATAAAAGTAGATCTTTTTGTATCTTTTATTCAAACTATCCGAAAAGCTTGCTTTTTGAGGTTACACGCTTAGACCACAACAAAGCCTAAAATTAGCAGTGATCGCGTGATTACCACATAAATAATTTAGACTATAAAGATTGATCAATTTTTTTGAAAAACAAGAGCGAAAAAAATATAATTTCACACATGTACAAAAAAAAAGTAAGTTTAATTAAAAAAATATAGGTTAACTAACTCAAACATAATGGAAATTACTTTTATATCCATTAAACAACTTTACATATTCAACAAACATTAGTTTTATTGAACTAAAGTGTCTAAATTACGTGACAAAGTTCTGCATAAAATATAACAAAAAAAAGTATAACTTCATGAATATTCAAACTAGCCTAATGAAAATTAATATTTACATAGTTTCATACCCATAGAATAACTTTACTTAGCCTTTAGGAACGCGTTCTCTTTAAGTATACTATTGTAAAATAAATTGTAAAGTTAAAAAACAAACGCGTCATAATAATTTTTACTCCCATAAAACTCTTATATTATTAAAAATAAATAATTATATATCATACCTTTAACCTGTCAAACAAAAGAGAAAAGAGAAGGAGAGAGTTTATTGTTGATCGTTAAAAGCATAAATGCATAAATGAAATAAATAAATCAGTGTGTAACATAAGAGGGGGGAACAGGATAAATAACGTATACCCCCTGGAACAGGTTAAGATTTCCCATACGTATAAGGACTCTAGATCACGTGATTAGCTGGACACAGGTTAAATTTTTTTCATATGAATCAGATTAGTAATCAGATTTCTCTCTCTGATTTACTTTTTCAAAATGGGTATGTCAAAAATACGATCAGCCAAAACTGCACGGTAAGTAATAAAACGTTAAGCGGGTAATGGAGTATTAAGTTACTACTAATTAGTACTCCCCTTTGTTACAGTGAATACTGCGACAACGCAGTTAAAAAAGACTCGACTGAAGGTCATACAACAATAAAATCGCTACTTCATGAAGAAATTGAGAAAATACCGGATTATGGGATAAATAAATATGGAAAAAAACTAACAAAAAATGTCAGTGCATACGTAAAAAAGCGCCACCGATACATATTCAATACCAATTTTTTAGAAAAAGGAGAAGAAAAAAGCGCAAGGGTAACTATTAGGGAATATCTTTTTCGCTATGTTCTCGAGAAAGACAATGAATCTGGCTCAGAAGATAAAGCAGATATAACAAATGAAATGACGTAAGTTTACATTTTTTTATAATTCCTAAATTATTTACATTGTAAGTAACCTCATTTATCATTTGGGTAGACCTATAGAGCGAGATGAGGAACTCGGTGCCCTCATGGAAATTGAAGATAAATTAGACTATACATCACTCAATAATTTGATTAAAACAAAAGTTAATAATCCTGGTATTGTTGATCCTATATCTGCAGATTTTGATGAAATTATTGAAAAACTTAGCAAACTCGGGCAGAAGTTATCAATTGAAAACCAGTTGCATTCTTATATAACCGAGTTGCAACGATTAAAATTTTTATTCAAGAATATCGGTATAATCAATTTTACATATTGAAAAAAAAAAGATTTTATAACATAATAATATAAGATGTCCATTGCAGTTCCGGTCGTTGGGGGTCTTAGAATTAATATAGTTAAAGACTTTGATCTTTTTATAAAAATCGACGATGCCTCAAGGCTTCTAATGGGAGAATATAAAAAAAAGGTTCCATTATCTGCTACATGTCCAGGAAATGTAGATGGAAAGTATTATATTATCGCAACAGTCAATTTGCCAAGAGGAACGCCAGTTTGTAACTTACCTGTCGAATACAATAGTTTCCCAGTAATAGTTGATTATGGAATTATGAAAGCTTCAACTAGTGAAAGATGTCATGAATATCACGAAAATATCAAACCGGGAATAAGTATTAGCGATTCAGAGTGTAATGGAGCATTCACACTAGGGACAATTTTCACAACAGAAAGTCAACCAGGAAAAAAATATCTTTTAACTGTAAATCATGGAGTCGGCGAGGTCGGTAGTTCTATAATTCAACCAGGAAATTTAGATAATATAGATACAGTATGTATCTGATAAAGAATATATTAGGATGCGTTATGCATATACTTGCCGCCCATCCCAAATCCAAAATCCCAAATCCCATTCCCATTCCAATCCCAAATCCCAATCCCAAAAAAATTTTCATGATTTTTCGTTTTAATACCAATTTGCTTACATTTATTGCACAGGTTACTCACCATCTCCAAATATAATGATTTAAGTATTGATGAAGATGGTCAACTTTTAGACTTCGCTTTTTGTGAGATCGATAATAAACGTGGATTACTTGCCACCAATAAGCCATGTGGGTCAGATAGTAGCATTAAAGATGTCAATTCTACTTTAGATTGTGAAAATTCAGCTTTTATACCTGTCCAAAAAATAGGTAGAACAACGGGACATACCAACGGGTATATGAGGAATATTATGCAAGAAATTCTAATAGATGAGCCGTTTGAAAAAGTAACGTTTGCTAAAGTGCTCGTAGTTTATGGTTACTTTGGTAAGTCATTATTTACTAAATTCCCTTTTCAATTAGCCTTATTTTTTAATATTTGACTGTTATATATAGGTGATCGTGGGGACTCCGGTTCCCCAGTTTACGACGAATATGGTCTTTGGGGAATTTACCAGAGTACCTCAGAATCAAAATATTTTTCTGGCGTTGTACCCATTGAACTAATTTTACAAAAAGTTTACGAAAAAGAATGCACAAATTTTGATTTATTAGTGGATGAAATGGAAGAAGAAAATGTGGATGAAGAAAATGATAATTAAAACCAACGCTTACAGCAATTAGATTTTCTTTTTATAGTTGTCATAGAAAATTATATGATCTGAATATTTACGACTTTAGCTAAACATCCAAATTATTACTACGAAAATAAAAATTTTTTTGTACTCGCTGCATTGCACATGACAAAAATTACCACGTTGTTTTTATGTAGACATTTCTCTGTATTGTCAATATCAAAAATTAAGCCGGGTGACATATTTTAGATACATCTTAATAAGATAAATCCAACGCTTCTGTAATCGACTACAAGAATAAATCAATCAGTTTGAAGTGAGTATCTTCAAGATTCTATTTTTTCTACACTTTGTGAACGAAGTCTCTCTTAGCCTCTTTTCGATAATTTTAGTAATTATATTAAAGGCACACGAAGATTGAAAAGAATAGTTAGGCCCTCTATTATTTCGTTTTTGTGTACAAATCACAAACTTGGTTATGATCTTAAGACTATTCTATTATAGAGTAAATGGTCTGAAGCAGTTGAAACGAAAAACTCTATGATAGTGAGATTGTAACGAAAAAAATAAACTCGGATGAGAATGCATCATTCATACAAAATAGCTCGCAACCTTCATTAGTCCTAACAAAAACGAACCCGAAAATTTAATATTGTTGGATGCACTATGCGAAATGTATGAGTAAATCTACATGATTCATAAGAACTTTGATAGCAATGCAGATTACTAGTTCATTTTTTTATTATAAATCAACCATTTGATCGTTAATTCAAGTAAAAAAAAGTCAATCAAATCAAAAGTGCATTTTATATAGTAAGCTTCTTAATGATCAATCTGTCACGTATCCGATTCCTGATTTTTTCTATTTATGGGTAAAAATGGTATAGAAACATTGAGGTGAGTAACGCCTTTTCTAGAAAGGTTTGCTCATCTCAACATTCACTAATGTATTTATGCGTTCTTTTCATTTAGAATATGGTTAAAAAATTATCCTCATTTTCATTAGGGATTTTTACCATCAAAAAATAGTGAAAATGAAAGAAACATGATACAAACTATCATACATTATGAACCGAGAAAAAATAGTGTTTTTGTGGTTGATACCATCTATTTTAACCCTCAATCTCTCCACTCCAATAGTTCAGATTGATTTCACTAAGAAAATGCTCCCTCGTTCCCAAAAAGGAGGTTCACAAGTAGAATTTTTCGTTATAGAACATAGTTATTCGGGAACGAGAATCTTACGATCCCTCGTTGACAATTGAGTTTGAAAGTATACGAAAATGTATGTAACAGTGTATTTATTCTGTACAAATCTCTGCGTTATTCTTACTAACTGCACCAGTCTTTTTTGGTATCGAAATATGTGCTAATGATGCTATAACGATTAACGAATTTGAATTTGACATCAGAGTTTGAATCAGGATACATCAAACGAAAAAAATAAGTCGACAATTTCAGTCAGAGAAAGCCCTTCGGGTAAATCTGAACGTAATTGATGCTATACTAATAGTTATAGAAACGTATCATAACTATCTTCGCAGACGAAATTTTATGAAAAGACAAGGTAAAGAAAGGTTAATCAACATTTATCTTAGTTCTGTTATAATCACTGGTCGCATGGAGGTTTGATTTTTTTTTCTATCATTTATAGATAAATTGTTTCTTAACTCGGAATTTATTTCGATGTATAGAATTTATGCCTTTAGACACTTTAGGCGAATCTGAAGAATACATCCAAATCCCAAGACAAATGTTAATGCATGTTAAAGTCTTTCGACCAAAAAATCTCGTGGTTGCACCAGAAATAAATTCAAGAGTTAAAATTTTCTAGAAAGGGTGGTGACTGCTCGAAGAGCACAAATAGAGTTAGCATTATGTCTATAAAAACTAATAATAAAATCTCGTATGTTTTATATTTATAAGGTATGATGGCAAAAAAACATCATAGTTTGTTAAAACAAAAATTTTCATCCGCATACAAAACTACAGTAACCCAAGGGATCAAGTAAATACAAGTATTTGACTAAAAACAAATTACGCATTTAGGATTAATTATTTTTAACGCTTTTCTCTTAATATTATGTACTTTTTGTAGTAAATCCAAGATATCTGCTTGATCTTTGCTTTTGTAAATACTGTATATGTTGAATAGTAAGAATAAGAACCACGAAAAAATAAAGATTCTTAGATAGCAATCAAATAACTCACAAATCTCCATATATCTTAGTGATCTTATATAAGTAACTGTTTTCCTTTGACTTAGAATGAATTTCCGTACAGTATTTATATGGCTGATCTGCTACCTTTACGTACCATCTACACAGAGCAATGAATTCATAAGTATATGCATGTATATAGACAAATATGATAAATTCAAAAAAAAACAAAATTCATACATCCTCGACTTTTAAAACAAATGAGTTTTCTTCACCTATCAATTCGGGAACTTGTAATATAGACTCAAAATTTTTCTTAATGAACTTTTTATCATTATCGCAAAACCATTTGTTCATATGTGTGGATAAGTCAATCAATCTTGATGCACCATAGCGCAATATTGCCTTTTCAGTGGCTGTTAATCTCTTTTTGTTTTTGATTGCGCGTGCGTTTTCTGATATCTTTTTAGCGTATATGTCACCAACATTCTGGCCCGAAGGCAAAGTCCAAATTTTTGAACTGTTAAGGGCAAAAGTAAGCGAGTCTTCTGGGGGTAAGGCTTCTTCATCTTCATCATTATCATTTGAAGGAGTCTCATAATCGGTTCATCACCTTCATCCGAATGATCCGATTATACATAATTTAGAGGAGATGGCTTCGTAATTTTGGTACCGTCAGGTAATAAATATATCACCCTAAAATAAAATAATTTATTTTTTGTAAAAGACGTTTTTTCAACCAAAAACTAAGTTATATACTGACTTTTTTTCTTGAAAATGATTTCTTTTTCTGTGATTTAGACCGTTCTTCATGAAAATGAACTCGTTTTGTTTGTTTGTATTCCTTATTATTCAAAGGATTAAAACGTAATTAGCCTCACTGATTCACAACTTTTAGCAATAAAAACGCTCATCTGCACCTCTCCCTGTCCCGACTCATCGTTTCTGATCTGTATGCAGAAAGAAAAGGTTAGTAATATTTTTCTGTTACCTACAGATTGTATTTTGTACTAACCTTCTTAGTTCTCTCGAAAGAAGCTGGTATTGTGCTATCTAAAGTGTGTTTGGACGTGGACGATGCATCAATGGGTAAAGAGTTCGAGAATCCTTCTGATAAGAGATCTTCAACATTATATTTTCCAGCTTCATTTAAAAGACTAAGGCTTCCAAGAATGTGAGTGCATTTCACTTCCAACTATTTTTATATTGATCAAGGTCAATGAAAATGAAGAGCAGTGATACAAAAAGTTTAAATTACCTTCTTCCGTTTATGGATCACACCCTCCCAATAGGTCTGTAACCCTTTGCCTGAATGTTCAAGATCCACCTGTTGCAGGAAAGGCAATAATGGAAAGTAAAAGGCAACGAAAACAATACAATGGCGAGTTTACAACAAATAACCAAGAAAATGCAGATTCGCAATGATGAAGCTCAGGACACAGACTGATACTCATGAGCCAGGACGCAGACTGATCAAGAGTGCCACCACCATCACTTGGGCCAGGGCGCAGACTGATACTCCTGATCAGGACGCAGACTGATCAGGAGCTCCCTTGATTAAACAAAAGAAAAGGATAAAAAAGATACCTTGGCCTTTAAATCCTCAAGTTCTTCTGGTCTGAGGTCTTCTGCTTTTTTTAGGAACCTGCGTGTCCAGGTCCGGTCAACTCATCCAAAAACGGAGGTGAAGATACAATCACCATGATATCGGGTTAAAAACTCGTAATACGACCATCTTGTGTTCTCGTTCATGTAAGCAAGAAGAGCTGAAAGGTCATAAGTTTAGAAGAAAAAATTTGATAGCAGATTGAGCCACGAGACTTACCAAAGTAACCAGGGTAATACTCGGACGAAGACATGTTTTGCAAAACTAAATTCGAGAAAAATATAATGACTTGATCACGTGCCATAGATCAGATTATCGTTTATCATACTGTTGTACAGAGGAAACGGGTTTTTTCATGAAAAATTTTTTAATGTGTGAACACATCATATAAATATGATTTGTTTTTTTTTGATATACTGCAAAACTCTATTATTTTTCAGTAAAAAAAGTGATGTAGCAAATGAAATTTATGATGCTATCAAAGAGGAAGGGAGTCCTTTGAGATTTATCAAAATTTATATATATTCAACGTCTATAATATGATGATGTCTAAATTGATCAATCCTTTCAAGTTTTCTTGAAGAATTCATTTATGAAAGATTTGGTCGGAATTATTTTAATAATAAACGGACTTACGGACACTCCATTCTGATCAAAGTTTTACAATTAAAAAAAAATATGTATAATTATATACATATATATTTGTATCATGATACTACAGCAGGTATTGATTTTTTTTTTTAATCAAATATTTATTTATATTATTTACTGTGTATGTTGAACATCTTGTAGAGATGAAGAGCAAAGATGAAGATCAAAATTAAGATGAATAGAAGTGGAGGAATTAGTTGTTGCAACAATCTTCATTTTAGTGTAATTTTGATTCTATGTTTAACATAAAAGAAAATCTGCTAGCTTTTATAGATGATGGTAGTGATATAATAATTTGTATGTCAAATTACCTATTCTTTGGATATTCAATATCAAAAATTCGGTTCAACTATTACGATATTATGGTGATTTAAATTGTACCGCAATGCACTTTTAACGGAAAGTTCTAAATAAGAAACTGCTAGAAGACCTATCCATATGTAAGCAAAAGCAATTTAAATGATCTAAATGCTGTTCGAAGGAACTTATTGCAAAAGTTATCAGTAACGAGCAATGTAGGAATGATATCTGAAAGTACAAATCATATCCTGTCAATATGACTTTGTTTCAATGGCAAGACTGGAGTGGATTATGTTTCTAGAGAGCGTATTTGAGCAGCTATGTAGTGATTTATTACATTTCATCGATGCTAAGAACATCATTCTATAAAGCAAAATTAGTGATCAGAGGGTATACGTAATGAAGAAAGCATGTGATGATGGTGATGATGGTGATGATGAGGGGAACGAATTATTTCCCAAACTGGGGATATTAATTGAGGATAGACGCACTCCTAATAAGTAAATCAAGGATTATGCTGTCAAGATGTTCTTTATAAATTTAAATCATGTTGCATTCTAAAGTGGTAAGCTTTTTTTTTCTTATTCTCTATGCAGTATATATAATTTACCAGTTACTTTATTAATGATATTTTTAAAACAGCCTCTGTCATCCATTCATTTGTCACTAAACCAATGGATAAAATCTATCTAAATGACTTAGATGAGATAATGCATTAAAAATGTGATAGTTTTGCGGAGTATGTTATTTTATTTCTCATATAATCATGAGGGTTGAATATGAATTTGATGAATCAGAATTCAAGTTTAAAAAGAAACAATGAAACAGAATTATGACTGAAAGTAAGAGTGAGATAAGTAATATGATATAAAAAATTTTTTTTTAAAAAAAATCTATGAAATTTAGACTAATGGGTATTTTTTTTACAGGTTATTATTTTTTATAAAAACTAAGATCAATACATTTATGAGTTTTATAATAATTATTTTGTAATAAAAGAGGGCCGACTCACTTAGTATTAAACGAAAGAATATAAATTGAAAGGATGCGAAGGATGCGAAAATATTGCGTTGGCTTCTTGATTGTTTCTTTTATATATGGTCCATTATTTATTCCACTACCATCAAATCAATGTAAGCCCTAGAGAGTTAAAAAAAATTATTAATATTTCTTGAAAAAGCAAAAAAATTTCTTTCAACTCACTTAACTATACAGGATCGTTAAGACTATAATTTTCCAGATTATTTTATGTTAAAATTGTAAGTGATCAAAGAAGCGCCCTTTAATATCGCATATTTGACGTTCAAATTGTCATTCTCAATGAAGTGTATCATTTTATGCATTATTTTCCAATAATTTTACGAATAAGATTGCGATGACAGTTACGTTCGCTTGTACTAGTCTTGTACCTGTAAATAGAGCTATCAAAATAAAATGGTTGTACGAAAGTTTAATCAAACTTGAAGATTCAATGTCCGATTTGAGTAACTTTACCTCAAGAAGGTATTTTTTCTACCTTATGCAATTGAAAATGACGATATGACATTCTTCGTATAAATTTGCAATGAAAATTGAATTATGTTGAATATTATGAAAGAAATAAAGATTTGTAACTATTGATGACACAGCGCCGCATCGATTATTAATTATTCGTAAGAGTTTGCTATATTAGAAAAACTCAATAGGGAGTTTATATACAAAAATTTTTGTGAAACCTAGAAGAATGATTTTTGGTAGGTTTATTTTATGAATTTTAGACAAACAAAGCATAGCCGGCTTTCTTACAGCAAATTTCAAAATATACGGGACACTTGAGAAATTTGATTGTCGGGTTGTCGGGTAGCCAGGTTACTCGGCAGTAGGTTATTATATAATCTGATATACTACTATTCATTATACTCGTCACGTGTTATTTATACTTTTCTAATAAACAACCTACTGCCGAGTAACCCGGCTACCCGAACAACCCGACAATCAAATTTCTCAAGTGTCCCGTATATTTTGAAATTTGCTGTAATTATCACATAAATGCCGATCATTTTTCAACTTCACTAAATTTAAAAATTATATATAACAATTTATTCTTGATATATTTATTTTATTATAAAATTTACTTTAATAATAGTTTTATTCAAATGAATTATCTTTTTCGAAGGTTTGAATTATACTAATAAATGGTGCTTTTAGCGTGCCAATAGTTATAATAATTGCGAAAACTACAAAAATAAAATTTTGACGTAAACTCAACTATAAAATACATCAATAAATTAACCTTAATTAATTTCAAATTATATAATTTAAATGCTTCCTCCAATTTTCTGTTTATATCTTCATCAGTAGAAACAATTACATTTTCATCATTATCCTCTAAATTTGCCTAAATTACACAAACGTTATGGTGAAGTTCACCAGAGGTCTTCCAAATCTTCATTATCATCGTCAAATTTCATCATATTCAACATATTCTGAAGTATCTTGAAATTATTTTTAATACCATTGCATCTGATTCACTTGGTCAAACCAACGCCTCCAATGAAAGTGGATTTTTATTAAATGACGGATTTTTGGGGAGGAGACAAGAAATTGCTTTTTGGAAATGTTCGATCTATGTCATTTGGCAGGTGGGCAAGATGGCTATAAATTATTTTTGTAAAATTTTTCTGAGACCTTGATTTTTATCCTGCCCATCCTGACATAGTTTTATGAATAAACACTTAGAATTATACTAGTTATTACATTAAATTTACATCAAAAGTTTTTATAGTAACAAAAGCATATTGGTAGAGCGGGATCCAAATATACGATGAGTATAACGAACAAGTTACTTGTTTGAGTTCAATAATTATGGTATATTAAGTAAATTTACCAATTTCTTATTAATTGAAACGCTTCATAATCTTCGATGATAGAAAAAAAAGACCCCAAATCTGTTGATTATATTGGTTATTTTTATTGTCAATGTCGAATTGCATTGGTAAAAATGAAGAAAATTAAGATTCGAAAACTTATAAATTATTATCTTTTTTTTTTCAATAAAAGGCCGGGTTTAGCATTTTTTTCTTTCTTTTCTTTTTAAAAAAAAAGAAAAAAATTTTTTTTACCTATTTAAATTGTCATTTTATTGTTTTTAGTTACTTAAGTCTTTCACGTATTTTTGATGATAATATTTAAATTTTAAACCGATTGATATTCGATACAAGTAAGAGTTCAATAAATCCTATATGAAAAAAAATTGAGGTTAAAAATTAAACGAGTATAATTTTTGAAATCTTGGAACTAACGCCGCGAAAAAAAAGAACAATTAACAACGATAGTCACAAGAACAAAAAATTCTCTTTTCGTGAAAGATGAAACGTTCCCTAGAAGAAATTATCATTATTATTATCATAGTCATTATTATTTTTAATTGACAGTTGAGTGTCAACTATCTGGGTAAACAAGTATTAAATTGTGGCGCAACGAAAATTGATTCGAATAATTCGCAGAAATACTATTGTCGGTTAATTAAAAAATGATAATAAATTTCTTTTTATAATACATTATATTTTTCTAATAAATTAAATAAAAATTAATTCATAAATTCACAAAAAAAAAAAAATCATGCGAATAAATCTTTCGTCGTCATAGATGTCGAATATATATAAGTTTTTGATAAATCTCCAATGCGGTTAATAATATTCACCACCAAATAAATTTTTTAATACCTTTGAAATTTGAATGTGAATTCAAAACAAAATTTCTTTTAACTTACGTAGCTCCATAATAAACGTTTCATTTCTCCTATCTTATATACCAAAATTGTATATGATCAAAACTATGGTACAAATTTGTTCTTTAGTTAATATTTTGTAAAAAACTAATAAATGCAAGTCATCTTCGTTAAATGTGTGTAACTTACAGACTATTTCGTTGATTTGAAGATACTTTGCAATAATATGCTAAAATTTCGATAAATAGTTTATTTAAAAATGAAGCGTAATAAAGCAAAATTTTTTAATGTTATATTATACCTCAATTTTTTTCAGAAGCTAATCTTGATAGTTTTCCGAAGGTATACCATGAAGAGAAGACAACCGTGCTTACATTCGCTCGCTAGATAATTAACGTCATGGTCATGGAAGTGACACGGAGGTTTAGGTCAAAACTGCAACCAAAGACCGCAAATCCAAGTAGTCGCATGTGTAAAAATTTATCTCGCGTCCTTATTGATGCAAACTTTATTAAGCTTTATATCATTTATAACAGCAAAAAACGCAACATATTATTAAAATAATTATTAATTTATTAAAGTTTATACGCGTTTTAATCGTATTTACAAAATAGAAATTTCTGATACATTAAACTTGAATTATAAATTCGCATAAATTTAAATATAAGACCTGTTCAATTCTAATTTTGATCGGATAATTATTGGCTGATGAAATTAGGCCAGTTCATAATTGTTCGATAAGCTTTTTTGGTCGAGTTACACTAATCTCATGATCAAAGTTCAATTTTGAGTCGGTTAGGCAACCAATAGTTATGGTTTTGTTTATTTTTGTCAGTATTTTTGTCTACTCGATCAATCTACAAACAAAATTTATTGGCCACAAATTTTAGTGTAACTGACCAAATATCAATTATGAACTGGCCTATCGTGTGACCTGATCATTTTGGTCGCTTTTTTTTAACGTGTTTGGTGCTTAGTAAAGTTTTAATATGCGCCCTCAAAAAGTTTACTATACCATTTTTTTTTAAAAAGAATATTTTATTAATATGAAAAATAAGGTACCTTTCAAATAAGCTTGATTTACTAGGATTGGTTAATGGATTTTCGATCAAAAAATTCGAACGATCAGAATTGAACAGGCCTATAAAACTATTATCTCTTTGTCATATTTAAATAGATGGACAAATCAGAAGTGCAGTATTATTTTGAAATCTACACCACACTGATTGATCATAAATTAGTATATAGAATAATATAAATTTCGACGATAAACTTAATCCTCAATGTTCCTGTTCCCTAGTTATTTAAAATATGCGTTCAACCTAAATTTTTTATGTTTAAAACAAACAGCAAATTATTGGTCTGTATTAAATTCTTTTCTATGAAATGAAAACAAGACAAAACAGTAACCCGTTGACTAATGACTACCTATACAGGACGCAATCGACACCGATAACCGTTACCGACAGGTAATTTCACCGATATATACAAAATTTTTTTTTTTAAAAAAAAATAATAAATACAACAGTATATTTTTATTCTTTCTAATGAAAAATAATTTCTTTTATTAATATTATTGTTCTAAATTATTTGCTATTAATATGTACATAGCCTCAAATTTTATTATTATCGAATATCATATTTATTATTTTTAACCCGACAAAAAAAAAGAAAAAAATTCTATAAAATAGGCAAAATGAACTGTCGGTGAACTGAAGTGATTGTCGGTGAAGTAACAATTATCAATAGTAAATATTAGAAAAGATTTTTAATAGAAAAGCCTTTTACAATTTCTTATTTATATACTATATTACAAAAAAAAAAAAAGAAAATACAGTATATTCATATAATGATTACAGTTTCATCAAACATCTTAATCTTAATTTTTTCTTTAAATTGGTAATATATTCCATTTAATTTTTACATAAAAAATTTTAATATACGTTAATTTGAATCCTTTGGATCCAAGAATGCATATTTCAAATTATCTTCAAATTTCCTAAATCTTTTGCTTTTACAAATGCAATCATTTTGATCACAATTAACATTAATATATTTAATTTTAATTTTGCTAGCTTTTTGTTTTAAAAGAATTGGTCTAGGCAGTGATATACAGTATAGTGGGGTGAGTGGAGAATGCAAATCGGAAAAGGATACTATCTCTAAACTGTTCATCGAACGAAATGCTCACGGCTAAAAGATATTTGGGAACAGACATAATTTTGTTGACTAATTGTCTCCACGAGTTCTTGTTCCATTCGTGAAAAGATATTTGGATAACACTGTCCTTCAGATATTAAGAGGTTGAAAACCATTAATCCGGTTATATACACCAAACTAATTTGCTACAGACAAGCATACCAAAAATGCCCTTCAGGTATAATGTAGCATCAGAGAATATCTTTCATGTAAAATGTTATTTTTGATGGCCCTTGTAATAATAAAGACAGGTAGCATTTCTCAATAATATTTGAAATTGATGGCTAAGAAAACTATTTATAAAATCAAGGCATAATAAGTATAATAAGTGATGAATATTCCTTTATAAAAATTTTAAAAGTTTTCGACGAATAATATTCTTAACTTTCACATGATATAAAAAAAAATAAGCACAGTCATATACCAGAAGCAAATAATCACTTTTGTGATATTTATATTTATTATTATTAAATTATAAGGGGTTAAACAATAAAAAAAAAATATTAAGGGGTTTTATTGTACCTTTTGAGTTAACGTGAAAAATAATATTAACTGTTAATAATGTTGATCAGGATTCTTCCATAAAATCGGTACCACAGTTTCACACCAAATTCTGTTAATTAAAAAAGACATGAATAAAAAGATTTACTATCATTTTGCAAATTAAATTATTTGAATTTTTCTTTTGTTTGACTTGATGTTGAACATGGCTGTCGTAATGCCATGTTCAACATCCACCCTAACGGGATGATCCGTATTAATCCTAATTAGGAAGCACGAATGTTAATAAAAATTTGATTCAATAACCAAAAAGTGTAAAATTAAATGTTATAACTTACATCCTCGGGAAAATAATATCCACTCTGAATCTTGTTTGGATATTATTTTCGATTATGGTGCAGTCGTTGAATCCAATTATCATTGAACTTTCTGCAGTGATTGTAATTGATCGGTCGTCATAGGAGACTTCGATCTGCACCTGTTCCTTCCGTTGGACTCCAGGTGTATATATTTTGATAATATAAAAACTATCACAAAAAAAAAAGAAATTTAGTTGCATGCATATTAAACAATACAGGATATTAACTAATACAAACCCTTCATTATTTTCGTATATCACATATTGAGTCTTATCTATCTGATTGTTTGTTTCGGAAGGAGGAGGAGGTATCTGATTGTTTGTTTCGAAAGGAGGAGGAGGTATCTGATTGTTTGTTTCGGAAGGAGGAGGAGGTATCTGATTGTTTGTTTTGGAAGGAGGAGGAGGTATTTGATTGTTTGTTTCGGAAGGAGGAGGAGGTATTTGATTGTTTGTTTCGGAAGGAAGAGGAGATATCTGATTGTTTGTTTCGGAAGGAGGAGGTATCTGATTGTTCATGTCGGAAGGAGGAGGATTGTTTGTGTCAGAAGGAAGGGTTGATGACTCAGTTTCCTAAAAAAAACAGTGATAAGTAAGAATATCAAAGTGTATTATATAATGTACTAATCAAAGAAAAACATACAGTAATATAATAATTAATTAATTTCCTGGTCTTAAAATACATCGAGGCAGAAAATTTAATAACACAATTGTTTGGACCAGTAAAATTCCTCTCTTTCATTTCGTGAAAGAATTTCGATGCGTCATCATATGTGCGAAAATGTACGTGCCCCCAACCCTTTTCTATTTTCTTTACAATATGTTCAAATGGTAAAGACGTCGCTTCCCGCAACCACAATTCCAGTTCCGTGTTACTTATATTTACAATAGCTCCTGCTATTAGGACAGATAATTCTGCCTTTCCACAGCACATTCGTTTATTAGAATCTGTAATAGTAAAATTAAAGTTGTACACCCATCGTGTTAGCAACAAACCTGAAGGAACTGCTTCCACGAAGGGAGTGATAATTGGAACAGCACGCCTATATACAGGCATGAGGACTACACTACATGTGCAGAACGGCGGAACCCCCCACGAGGGAAGGGTGGCAGTGCACGTTCATGTACAGGCAATGAAGGCGCCTACTCATGAACAAGTTTCTTTGTTTGGCATAAAGGTACTAAATACGTAACCAACTCCTCTTCCAGAGTCAGTAGTCCTTTCAAAGAAAGAAACTCCACTTTCAGGAAGAAAGGGCGAGAAGGGTGGAACTACACACCCATGTATGGAACGGCTGAACCAATTGGGACACACGCCCATGTACAGACATGAGGGCAAGGCATCTTACTCATAAGAAAGGATGAAGGGAGTACTTCATGTACATGTACAGAACGGCGGAACCCTCCACGAAAGAAGGGTGGCAGTGCACGCTCATATACAGGCAATCATGTACATGTACAGAACGGCGGAACCCTCCACGAGAGAAGGGTGGCAGTGCACGCTCATATACAGGCAATGAAGGCATCCCACTCACGGACAAGTTTCTTTGTTCGGCATAAAGGTAAATACGTAACCAACTCTTCTTCCAGAGTCAGTAGTATTTTAACAAAGAAACCTCACTTTCGGAAGATAGAGCGGACTGCATGTCATATACAGGACGAAGGCGGACAACAAAAAATATTAAAATTATACCAATTATTTCACTTCTCCTGTTTTCCATAATTAAGACAGATATTAGAAGAAAGTAAGTTTCAATAAAATAATGAAAAAAAAGAGGGGAAGCAAGGTCGTTTTATATGTTTTTTTGTTGTACGAATTTTGTTTATGAATTATGTAATAGAAATATCAATAAACACATATATATCGTACAAGACACAAAAAAGGTTTTTCAATCACAATATAATCAACATAGTTAATTGTCGTCGCGTATAAATGAATGTGAAAGTATCGTACAAGATACAAAAAAGGTTTTTCAATCACAATATAATCAACATAGTTAATTGTCGAAGTATCGTACAAGATATAAAAAAGGTTTTTCAATCACAATATAATCAACATAGTTAATTGTCGTCGCGTATAAATGTATGTGAAAGTATCGTACAAGATACAAAAAAGACAATATAATCAACAAATGAATGTGTAGTATAATACGCGTAATAAAAATGTCGCGATACTACAAACCATACCGTACGACCGCAGCAGTAATTTATGTGGCAAATTCGTTTATATCATAGTTAATTGTCGTCGCGTAACAATTTTTTATGCTGATTTACGCGTCGTCCCTCATAATAAAAATTTCGATAGTGCATTGATTAGATAATATTAGTCACGAACCGTATGACTGCAGCAGTAATTTATGGCGCTGTTTATATTATCTCAAATTTGTAATTATTATTAACAAGCAGCGTGTCATACAAGTTGATAGTCTCACATACTTAATTCTTTCACAAATACAAAGAGACGGAAATTACTGAACAATACTCATCTTCCGAACAATTAGAAGATACCATCATTTCACAAAACTTCGCAACTAAACACATAAATCCATCATCAAAAATTTACACAAAACACTTCAACTTTTACTAACCCACGAAATATCAAAGTGGAAATCTGCTACCTTGCGAAATAAGGTTCTCAGCTTCCTGGAATAAAAGTATGATATTCCACAAGACGGTAAAAAATGATGAACTCATCATCTTGATTCTTGATTTCATAATCAACCCATCTCACTTACCAAAACTAACGCTTATCTTTTATCAATACCAGATAATCTTTTTAGATGTTTGCTTATCCAAGTTTCATGTATGAGCTGAACCCACCATCATTTTTACCCGCATACGCATTCTTATTATTATAATACGTATTCAAACATTATTCCCTCGGAAACCAATCTTATCACACATCCAACAATAATACTAAAGACTGTACCCAATGTGCTTGTTTTGTTTGAAAAAAGGACAGTGTTAATGTATCAAAAGAAAAGTGCGAAGAATAATTTCAGAGGCAGCACTATAAGATTCGCCACGTAAAACTACGTATGGCAATACTCCGTAAATTTGATTAGAACTTTTACATTATGACCCTGGAATTTCTTACTCAGAGAAAATTTTAATCAGCTAAGTTTTTTCAAGTTCATAACTTGATCTATAAAGAGTATATAAACATCTTCAGTGTCTACAGAAATTTCTTCATCTCCAATAAGCAAATTTTCCTTCGCGAAGATTTTTATGAACTATACCTCCAGCATGAATTCTTTCAAGACCTCTAGCAATACCCACAACATGTCTATCACATTGGAATGGTTAAGGTATTGGCATTTCGTAGTACTTTATAATTAGAAGTTAGATCCATTATAATCCCAAATGTTCCAGCAAATGAAACCGGCTTTGTGTATTTATCATGTGTTTTATTTATCAGGATTATGAAAACGAAACTAATTATTACAATACGGACAGAACACAAAGAATGCTATTTGATGTAAAAATAATTACATAGTCAACGTAGGAACTTGAAATGTTTATCAAATTATCAAACCGTTTCAAAGCAACTTTAATTGGACCAGGTTTATGGTTTATTATGAGAGAAAATTTTTTTTAAAAATAAAAAGTGAAACGAGTATTAATTAATGTATATTTATCTCAAGTACTAAACAGAATGCTAAAAACGCTGAAAATCCATGTACAGAACAGAAAAGATGTTACATATAAAAATAATAAATGGGGCTAACGAGTTCTGGCTAATAGAAAGATTAGCTGTCATTGTTTTAATTAATATTTATAGTTTATACAAAAAAGTTTAGTACACATAATGTCGTAAAAAGACGTTATTTTAATAAAACTAAAACAAACTGTTCATAAAATAACACGTTTTTTGGTATCTTCTAGATATAAATAGTAGGTATTTCAATGTTCTAGCTATTTTAATTATCCTTTTTTACTGTATTAAATGAACAATTTTGAATTATTATTCTTAATAGATTTAATTAATATTTATTATTTTCCCCTTTGTCGTACGAAATAAGTTGTTCTATTGACTGTCTTAGATTTCAAAAAAAAAAAATAAATAAATAAATTACTACAGTAGCACTTCTTCAGACCGGAATTACACTAATATCAAATTCTGGCTGGCATTATCTGAAAAAGGATGGGTAACCAAAGAAAAAATGATTATGTAGTTCTAAAGTTATGAAAGTTCAATGTGTTACTATAATTTTTTTTGTAATAAACTTGTGATCGTGACATCACTTCAAAGTCACTTGACATTCTACACATGAACAGAGTGTAATGTCTTTACATAATTCCGTGATCTTTTCGGTTTTAGTCCGTGGCTACATAATTTTTCTTTCGTTGACTCATCAAAAGTTCCATGATGAACTTGAAAGTCATCGTTCAAATTGTACTAAAGTCGGTGCTAGCAAATTTATCCGATTTGTTATTCTTTTTTTCCGTAGCAGGAATGTTCAACAAGTCAACAAACTTTCTTTTGGAAGCAAGAAAAGCGAAGAAAATTTAAAGTATTTAGAATTTCTAGCATAGTTATCCGAATTCTGTTTAATCATTCATCATCAACTAACAGCTAAATTAGAGACCTGCATCGGTATTCCGGTCCGGCGCTAGGATAAATAAATAATTCAACAATTTACAGTTCTGTGTTCACTTTTTACAGGACATTAATATCAATTAGGATGTACTAATTTCGCCCACTTTCCATTGGTGAACCGGGTCCGGTTGATCAACGTCTGGAATTTTTGACTTCTGCCGTCATCCGAGCTGATTACACATCGGATCCAATAGGAAAATGGGGTCACAGGTCGAATAATGTCAAATCGGTCATCAATCCGTCATCAATCGGGTATCCGATTTGTGCCTGATTGGTAACTGATTTCTTCAATCAGATACCAATCGGGCTGCCTGATTGGTATCCGATTTCCGCCAAAATCCGACACCAACCGGTCAGTCCGATTGATGACGGAATGATATACCGATTGGTGACAGATATGCACATGATTGTTAACAGATTATTGATAGGTTGTTAACTGATTTATGCCTGATTGGTAGCCGATTTTACTTGTTTCAATCTGACATCAATCTGACATTGACCCGATTGTTGACCGATTGTTGACCGATTGTTTGCTAATTTAAATAGTTGATTATAGCCGACATTATGTACATTTTATAGTGTAATTATTTATGGCCTGTACTATTATACGTTTATAAAAAAATTTAAAATGATCACATTTGAATATATTTTATTATTCAGGTAGATTAATATTTACAATATAAATATATGATCATATTGTGTGATGTATATTCAATATCTACTACCACTTATTATAATTTCATAAATGAAAAATTAGTATATTTTTGTTTCCAATCGCCGAAAATGAAAATATGCATCATATTAATCTCTTAAAAAGGTAGTGCTAGAAGTAAAAATCGAATGAGACTTACACCATTAAGACTAATATTCCTCAAAAATTTATAGACATTTTTGTTCTGATCACTAAAAGTAGAAACTGATTTGTTAACAACGAAATTTGCATCATATTGATCTCTCTTAAAAAAAATAGTGCTAGAAAGGAATGGAACTTACATTTAAGACCAAATAGCGCCTCAAAAGTTCATCAAAATAGGTACATTCTTGTTTCTGATCGCTACAAGTAGAAGCTGATTTAAAAAAAATGAGAATATGCATCATATTAATATTCTTAAAAAAGGTTGTGCTAGTAATCAGAATGAGACTTACATCATTAAGACTAAATAGCCTCAAAGTCCATCGAAATAGATTCATCTTTGTTTCCGATCGCCAAAAGCAGAGGCTGATTTGAAAAATATATCATATTAATCTCTTAATAAAAGTTGTGCTAGAAATAAAATAGGAGTGAAACTTACATTATTAAAGCTAAGTAATACTTCAAAAAGTTCTTCATGTTTGTTTCCAATCACTAAAAGCAGGAGCCAATTTGAAAAAAAAATCGTTTTAATATCTTATAAAAATGATTATATCTGATGCTATATATGTCGCAAAAAAACTATTTAAATTCAATAAATGCTCAAAAATTTTTACGGCATGTACAAATTGCCATACATTATTATACAATACTGCTGAAATTGGTGATACAGAATTTAAATGTAAACATGTAAAATTTCCAAATCACACATTGCAAACAAAAAGGGAACCCTGTGGAACAGTATTAACTGAGAAAATACCAATCAATAAAGGGTATAAAAGACGTCCCAAAATGTTGTTTCCTCTACTGAATTTAAAAATGCAAATAATTACCTTATACCAGCGACCAGAATTTGAACAACAACTTAGAAAATGGACCGATCGGCATATAGATAATGAGTTAATAACAGACATTTATGATGGAGAAATTTGGAAATCGTTTCCAAATGATCAGATATTCCCATTTTTTTCACCTGAAAAAGCTGATTCCCACCTTGGAATCATGCTCAATCTCGATTTGTTCCAACCTTTTTATTCTGCTGTATATAGTTCTGGTGCAATATATGGAGTTATTTGTAACCTTCCACGAGACCTTCGATTTAAGAAGGAGAATATGTTAACTCTTGGTCTTCTACCTGGACCAGAAGAAGCCAAATTACATCAAATTAATAATTATTTAGCTCCAATAGTAAATGAATTGCTAGAATTTTGGAATGGAGTTGATTTGCCATCCACTTATAATTATCCTAGTGGTAGGAACGTTAGAATGGCTGTAATTTGTTGCAGTAGCTATGTTCCAGCTACTAGAAAATTAGGTGGTCATATATCAGCACTTGTAGGATGCCATAGGTGTTATAAGGAAGCGAACAACGAAGGCGGCCAAAAATTAAATTTTGGAGGGTTTGAAGATATGAAAGATTGGTTCATAATGAGAGATGCAGAAGTACATCGACATAATGCTGTAATTTGGAAAAAACAGCAGTCAGAAGAAAGTAGAAACAAATTTGTTAAGAGGACACATGTCAGGTGGTCTGAAATGCTCCGATTGCCCTATTACAACCCGATTAGACATTTAGTTGTTGATCCAATGCATAATTTATTTTTGGGCATTGCAAAATGGATCGTTAAAAAACTATGGATTGATAGTGGAAAAATTACTCAATCTGACCTTGAGGCAATGGAAAAAAAGGCAGAAAAAATTAAATTACCTGCAAATATGGGTCTAATTCCAAATAAAATTGCAACCGGAAATGGATTCTCTGGATTTACAGCAGATCAGTGGAAAACTTTCATATTAATTTATGCTATTCCACTTCTATGGAATTTGCTAAGTAAATCTGATCAGAAAATTTTAGGAAATTTTGTTAGAGCTTGTTCTTTACTGGTCTCTAGAATTATCAATAATGATATGCTGAATGAAGCTCATGAATGTTTGCTTAAAGTTGCCATATTAATTGAAAAAGATTATTGACCGGGAATGATCTCTCCAAATATTCATCTAAGCCTTCATCTTGCAGAATGCTGTAAAGATTATGGCCCACTATATTCCTTTTGGTGCTATTCATTTGAAAGGATGAATGGAATTTTAGGTATTTTTTCCAAATAATGAGATTATAGAGGTGTGATCTGCTTAGCGTTATCCAGTCAAAGTCACGTGATATGTCTGTTAATTTCCTTTTTGGGATTAAATGTTATACAAATTTCCAAAAGGAGGCGTTTCCATTTTTAGATTTTTTTTTTTTTGAACGAATATCACCCAAAAAAAAAAATGATCAGCATACTCGTGTATAACCGGATCAGATAATTGGCTCATCGGCTGATCAGATCGAATTTCATTTAGATTTATTTGACTTATATTATTACTATCTTTAGGTTCCTTTCCGAATAGCCGTCGTCAAATTGAGCCGGAATTACTACGAATTATTATGCAGAATTGGAGAATCGATAATCTTATATCCTTTCGATCAGATGATGTTAAACTTTCTGAAGGATTAAAATTATTAAGATCCCAGAGCACTACTGGCACTCTTGCCGCTTACGATGAGCTAGATTTTGGTGAACTACTTCAATTTAGACAAATTTTTTGTCAAGAAATTGATGATACAATTAATGGTAGTGAGCCATTTCCTGGAGAAATGCTTAAACCAAGTAAAAATCGGGTTGCTTTGCCTAATGATGTTTATAAAATATTAACCGACTACTATAATAGTGCTTATGATCACCAATTTTTAACAATTGCCGAGTCAACATCAACCAATTCAGGTGGCTCTATTGTTGTACCAAACATAGTTAATCAGTTTGCCCGTGTTAGAATTGCAGCAGAAATTTTTGGATCAGCAATGTCACCTCGGTACTTGAAAAATGCATATATTTTGGCGAAATTCGTCCAAGAAAACCAAGGAAATGAAACGACCGATTTATATCCTGGTCAGGTGCAATATTATTTTGAGCATACAATCAGAATATCAGGTGAACCTACGACTCATCGGTTGGCATTTATCAGATGGTACGAACCAGCACCAAACCGGCATATACGATTTTATACAAGTATCGATGAAAATGAAAACAGCTCAAATATTGAACTCTGGCAAAATAATTTTTATGATTTACGCCGGGATTGCTTAATCCCAATTCATTACATATATAGCCGATTTGTATCTTGTAATTTTGTAGTTGGTAAAAAGAAATTTGTTTCATATCAAGCTGTAATACCAATCAATAGGCAATTTCACATATAATAAAGTCTCGTTTATTATTTCTTCTGTCTGGAAAATTTCCCCACTTCTTTTTCTGATTTCTTATCAACTAATTTTAGTTTAATTTCTTGTTTTTCACCTATTAAGTTCCATCCAAAGAGATCGAGAGAATTACCTAACATAGGTAAAATGATGGTTAACCGGCATGATTGTCGGTTGGAGTATATCTTTAATATGTAAATTAGAGAGCAATCGGTATCAATTACAAATTGGATATAAATCGGAAGAGTATCAGAAGTATGCTGATTATTGTAGTTAATAAAGAAATCTTCCGACTTGTAACTATTTATATATTTGAATATTATCAAGTTGGACAAGTAAATTGTATTTTCCGATTTATATTTTCGTCACATACAAATAAAAGGATGTTTAAATAATCATTTCAGTTGGTATATTTATTGGTCAATTCTGAAGGGCAACTAGTTGTTGCCAATAATTAACTACAATCGGAAACCACATTTTTATTAACAGGTAAAATAAATACTAGAGGTGCCAGTGAGTATGCATATTTTATCTGTGTTATCAATATGTGGTGCAACAAATAAATTCAGCAATAAGAAAATCAATTGCGCAATATAGTATAGCATGATACATAGCAAAAAAAAGGCAAATTTATTCGCTCTCATCCTGTCACGTAATCATATAATAAATGTTCTCATATTTAATAAATAATAAATTATAAAGTTATTTTTTATAAATTAAAAAAAAAATATCAAATGAAAAATCAAAGTCGTTTAACAAAAAAAAAAATCATATGAAAATCTTGTATAAACATATTGGACGGATATTCCAAAATCTGGATAATTCCCAACTCTCTTTTTTCAATAAATTAAATATGGATTAAATATTCATTTGGTAATAAAGATTTTATATAAAATAGCATACCATCATGACTACTACAACCACGACCATGACCTCCTTCTCTCCATTCCCTAAAATTATTTAAAAAAGTCTAAATAATAAAAAAAACTTGCTAAATTTAAAATTCTTGCTTCTCGATCATTGGTATTGTGTACCATATAATAAAATTAGAAAGAATGCAGGATCAGTTGAGATGGGGAAAATTATAATTTCTGAAAATTAAATTAGAATTTTACATTTTTTTTATGTAGAAAAAAATTAGAATTCCCATTTTATATATGATACAATATATACTAATAGACATACAACTAATATTTTTATGTGATTATGTAATCAATTTTATTCAAATAACAAAAAATTTTAAAAATAAAAAAAAACAAATACAATACTTTAAATGTTATTGTTATTTCTTTCAATTGCTTTTGCCGTTTTTTCAGATAAAGTAATTGCAGCAGTATACCTGGTTCCACCATCACTTAAGTCAAGTTTAGATGTACCATGTACCGCTTTAGTCAACCAGCACCAAATGGAATTTGACGACATTTCAATTGCAATACCATATTCTGGGTAAAAAAAAAATCCATCTTTAACTATTCCTTCCTCATAAACATATCCCACAGCATATTCTGACCGGTCATTGTCTATATGTCCAATTGCTTCATAATTTTCAGTACAAAATACTGCACCTATAATTTCATTATCATCTAATTCTGATTGATTTTTAAATTTTTCATAAGAATCGATAGACCAGTGCAAATGTTGTTTTCCAAATTCAAACAACCATTTAGCCAAAGTAATTCCATTCTCACAAAGTATTTTTTGTTCCTCAGGGTTAGAAGTTTTATAAACATATTTGTCATAACCAGAATTTAAACGATTGGGACGAAATCCGTCACCAACCATTTTTCCAAAAGATGCATGTGCCTTTCCACGTTTAATGATAGGATGACCTTCAATTATCGATTTAATTTTTATTCCAAAATGATTTGATAATTTTTTTATTGCTGCATCACGTATGACCGCACCTACAGCTTTACCATTATATTTTAAAATAACTGACTTATTTTTACCAATTATTTTAATTTCTAAATCTTTTAGCAAATTAATATGATCACCACTGTCAAAACAAGAAACCCTTTTTCCTAGATATTTATTTGCTAAGTCAGGACAGTAGTCAACTTCTACATCTAACATCGATGTTTCCATATCACCTTTGTGTTTTAAATCTTTTGGAGTAATCTTAACTCTCTCTTTCCAAATATCTAATAAATATTCATTTTTTGTATTGATTAAATGTCGAGAAAATGTTGATAAAGGATCCTATAAAATAAAAATTTTTTTTTTTAACGTTAATATTGTTAAAAAAAAAATACCATTAATTTCCAAAAATAAGCAACTCATACATACATGCATTACAATCATTTTGGCTGAAATTATAAAATTTTAGCCAGAATTACAAGTAAAAAAAAGTGCTTATTTTTGGAAAATAACATTGACATAAATAAAGTATTCCTCCCATCCTTCTTTTATAAATAAGAAAGAATTAATTCTTTTCTCGCGTAAAATTTGGTTAGGAGGTATATTTATATTAAATACCCTTTCTATCCTCCTTCCACAGGTCTTTAAAAAGAATTAAAACTTTAATATATTATAAAATTTGTTTAGGAGCATACTTAAATATATCTATGCCATTTATAATTTTTAAAAAAAAGATGAATAATAAAAATACATTTATCTAATATTACCTTATTCTTAATTCCTTTTTCCTTTAACCATTCTTCAAATCTTTCTGATTCTCCAAATAAAACTTTACAATGTAATTTGCTTAATCCACAAAGTACATTTACAACCTCATCCATACTAATAGTAGTAGAAGATATCTTAAAGAAATAAAACTTCGTTAAAAATCTAATTTTCACTTTATTTATTTGAAGAAGGATAAATAAAACGCTACATACTTTTTTTTAGAAGATTCAAAAAATTTTTAGACCGTAAAAAAAAAAGCAAAAAACACCTTAAAAAAAAAAAGATTGATAATCAGATAATCTAGTTTGGGTATACAAGCCATCAGCAAGTCACGGGAAAAATGTTCATTGCATGTTCATTCCTAAAATGTTCATCATAAAAATATGTTGAACATCTATATTAAAATCTATAATAATATAATCAAAATTGATTCTCTACACGCGCGTAAGAAATATCCTTCACAATTAAAATTGCATTGCATTCATCTTTACATTTTTTAATCTGAAGCAGGTATCTACAAATAAAAGTAGACACCATTAATATTTCTATCAAAAACGAAAAAAAACTTACAATTTTTAAACATTAATCATACTTTTCGAACCTACAAAAAAACAAAGAAAAGAAAATTTAGAGTTTCTGCTAAAGAAAATAAAAAAAAAAAGATGGTAGGTTTACGCAACGAAACTTACCATTTTAAATTCTTAACTCAATACCCCAGACAATCTACAAAAAAAAAAGATTATGGTAAATTTCTTAAAGATAATCTATTAATTTATTGCTTACTTAGTAAACTAATATAAAACATTATATTTAAAAGATAAAGAAGATTGAAATGTAAAGGTAAATAACAATAAAATCGAAGTGTAATCATGCCCAAAGTGTAATTATGTCTAAAGGTAAAAAAAAAAAGTAAAATCAAAAGGTAATTACATCTAAAGGTAAAAACAACAAAATCAAAGGGTAATTACATTATCATCCAAAGGTAAATAAATAACAAAATCGAGGGGCATTATGTTCCAAGATAAATCAAAGTCCAAATAAATGCAAAAAAAATCACAAGTCGAATCAAATCGAAATACTTACAAAAGAATCCTGAACGCAAAGTTGAATAACCTTGAAAAAAGAAAGTCCTCATGTTTCGTTTTCTTAAAAGTCCACTAAATTACTATACACTGAGAGAAGATTACGCCCGAAGCTGAAAAAAAGAAACAAGAATCGTTAGTTAGAAAAAAAAATTCAATTATTTTAAAGAAATTTACCCGAAAAGTTGACCTAAAAACCGAAGACGATTTTACAAAATAGACAAAAAAAAGGAAACGGTTAGTTTCTTCAAAATTAAACAAAAACTTTAAAAAAAGTTTCGAAATGAACTTCGAAACTTACCTTCCAAGAAAGTTCAGCCTGAATTTTTGAAAAACCTAGACCTAAAAAATAAACAACTTTTAATAAAAAAAAAATGATGAAAACAATCTGAAACTACGCCTATAAACTTACCAAAATCAAATTCAATTCCGGATTCTAATACACCGATATCTACAAAAAAGTAAGAAAATTAAAATTAAGAAAATATAAGTTTCAAAGTATTTGCTTCGAAACTTACCAAATTCAACCTCGAATCCTAAGACCGAATGAACCGAATTTCTGAAAAAAAATAAAATTATAAAAAAAACAAAAAAAATAAAAATAATTTTTCCATAAAAAATTAGAAAACATGAGACAAATAGGAACGATTATACATGGGGTCGTAATTATTCCAGATAATTCGGCATTTAGATGGCGTATTGGTGAAATTTATTATACCAAATTTTGTTCAAAGATTCAAGTATTACACCAGTAATACACCGGTGTAATGCCGAATTAGTATAATGTGCCGTAATATTTTCGTCATGGCTTGAACCTAATTCGCCCCCATGTATAGGAATGATTCTTACCTCATTAACTACTTGTAATGCAAATAATGATTAATTAAGGTTGCTTCCAATGATAATGCACTTGGAGAATTAATATTATCCTTGTCCCCAGTCTCAAGTGGTTTTTCAATAAATTTTCATTAACGGTGATATTTTCTAAATTTAAAAGTTATATAGGATCCTTAGATGTAGAATCAAAATATTGAACTTTATCTTTAGGGGTTAATGGTTTTTCTGATTTGGTACGAATAAGATCATAATTTTTGTCATAATAATATAAAAAGCCATGTAAAGATCTAATGAAAAAAAAAACAAAAAAAAATATTTAAAAATACATAATTTTCGCGAAATTTACCAGATCCAAGACCCAAAGGCCAAAGCCAAAACCAACCGATATCGCACTGGTCGAATGATGAGGTATCGGTTATAAGCTATCATGATGCAGAAATCCGATATGGCATGATAGGTAATAGGTATATTGGTTTGGTATCCGATATTATTTATAAAAGTAATAAAACTATATCGGAAAATTTTAATATTTGATATTTCTAAAAAACAATTGATTCATATCAGGAAAAGATGGACTCAAATTGAATGATTATCTGATCTTTTTTTTCCAGAAACGAATTATAAACTCTTTCATGTAACATTTCGTTTTTTTTTTCAACAAAAAGTATCATTTATATTTTAAGAAACAATGACTGAACGGTCAGCCTTTCAGTAGACTTATAGAAATGCAAGAAGTGCGGAAGGTTAGTAAATTTTTTGTTTTTTTTTTCTTTTTCTTTTTTCTTTATTTTTTTTCACCTTATTCTTATTTCTTTAGGGACGAGTCTCTTCTCTTGGAACGGCGATTTTGGTGACTACTGAGAATGCAAAAGACGCGGAAGGTTAGTATATTTCTTTTTTTTTT